TTTAGCTCGTTTTAATCGATATTTAATGTAGTTTTCCTTTATTATCTCTGTAATCATATCATAATCACTCGCCTTTTGTTCAATAGACAAGCAAAGGTGAGTGGAATCTCTTAGCTGAGTCGAATGCTCTCTCGCACTTTAGAGAGAGAATTAAATTGAATTTCTTTTTAATCCGGGTTTTATTTTTTACCATCGGCTGACACCGTTGTTGATGAGAACAAAGACTCGTCTGTCCTTGTCCATGTTGTTGCCGTTGGGGTGGTCGGTGGAATCGTGGCTGTGGCCATTGTTTGTATGGCTGTCATTATTGTACTGCGCAAGCGTGGCCACAATGCAACACTGGCTGGGTCACGTGGTGTCTACGAAATCGCTACTCTAGGCGTGTTAGTGACTTGCGTAGAATATGAAGAACTAGTCTTCTATGCCGATAACTTCCTTTTTTATATAGGAGTAGATAAAAGAAAGAAACTTCAAGCTGCATGAGCAGCTGTTTGAATTAGATTTATTTATTTATTATCTACTTTTTGTCTTCTGATAAGCCAATAATTATATCAGTGCGGAGCCTTTAATTTCCTATTTTTGCTGCAGGGCATTTTTCCCATGTGGCTAGCAAGGAGATCTGAATATTTCAACATTTCGAATGTTGGAAAACGTCTCCTGGTTAGTTTGCCATTTTGAAAGGGCGGAATAGTTTTAAGGATGATTCAAACGTTTATGGATGCGTTACTTTACATTGCTCAGAAAGTGATGTTTTTATTCTTTCGCTTTCCATGATGACTTTTTAATTATTTTGGAAAAGCGTTAAAACAAATGGGATCGTGTTTTAGTTCGTTGTGATAATAAAAACATTTACACGCTAATAATTTCAATGAAATGATTCTGAGCCGTGCGGTTTAAAAAAGGAACTGTCAACTAGAAACTGATTAACTAGAAAGTCTAAATCTCTAAGAATTTTGAATAAGTTGAACTCTGAAGAATTTACTGGTTCCACCGAACAAAACAATTATCTACTATGCTATATCACTGGTTAATGAAAATGTTTCATTTTCCATGATGTGTTTCAGCTATTTCTTTGCATTGCTTTGTATTTTCTACCTTTAACACAAACTAATTATATTTGTTACTAATGTCCCTGCCATGTGTTACAGTGTCTGTGACTGACTTGGAAACTCAGCAAAAAGAAAAGGTGAAACAGCAGTTCTTCACTTCAGGTGTTGGGATCCCTGCAGTAAACAGTCGTTTATAAGTAGTTTGTTAGTTTATAACGGTTAGTTAGTCTAAGAGGGAACTCTTAGGCCCGTACGGGCCTGAAATTTTTTCAGATCCTATTTACAACTACTCGTTTCAGTAGTGTTCTTAGCTGCGAGGATCTCCTAATTTCATCTTTCCACCGCAGTGTAAATATGTGAATTTTCATATATCTAAAATCTTCATTCACTTGGATGTTTATTTGGACCCAATTCATTGACCAGTTCCCAGTTGGCTTGTTAGCTCAATTGGTAGAGCGCTGCACCGGTATCGCAGAGGTCATGGGTTCAAATCCCGTACGGGCCTGAAATTTTTTCAGATCCTATTTACAACTACTCGTTTCAGTAGTGTTCTTAGCTGCGAGGATCTCCTAATTTCATCAGGGAACTCTCTGTTTTCCAGCTAATTTTCACATAGAGGTAGAGTTTCTTGTACACTGGCCGCAGCCTGGATAACTGCAATGGGCACAAGGCAAGACACATGACAATATAAGATTTTTACACTGACAAAATGGTGCATCGTAGTTAAGAAAAAAATTTACAGTTAACCTTTTTTACGACGCTAATGGTTAATATTTGTCGGCTAAATTTTTTTGCTGCTTTACAGCTAACGGGTAACCTCATCGAGACCCTCAACAGTAAGAATTGGAAGGCAAAGCAGCCGAGTCCATTATGAGAAACCATGAAAAGAAGTCTCTTTTGATCTCTCAGCCACTAATTAAAACAACAACATCAAATGATGAAGTGATGAGTAATGGCTGTAAACATATGAAAATCATATGTGTGCACTGCGGTTGAAAAAACGAATCGATAGAATAGAATCGATCCTCGTAGTATCGAAGGTTTTTTCAACATAATGATCAGCTCCCAGTTGGCTTGTTAGCTCAGTTGGTAGAGCACTTCACTGGTATCGCAGAGGTCATCACAGGCGGCCCAAGCTCACGTCTCGAGAAAAAGCCAACGATGAATTCATGAACGCGTCACGCGTTGTGTGACATGGATAACAGTCATAGTAAAGCAAGCTTAAAACAGCAGAAATCGCCAGAAACTACGACGGAGACACGGGACATGAGTAAGTTTTATTGATTTTACATGTAAAATATTCATATTTCGAATTATTTATCTTTGTAAATCGACCATATTTCGTTCCCCATACTATTCCTTATAACGTGTTCAAATTTTTAACGGTTCCTCCCGTAACTTAACACCGAGTCACACAACGCGTGACGCGTTCATGAATTCATCGTTGGCTTTTTCTCGAGACGTGAGCTTGGGCCGCCTGTGAGGTCATGGGTTCAAATCCCGTACGGGCCTTAATTATTTTTTTAGGCCTTATTTCAAATACTAGTTCAGTAGTGTTCATAACTGCGAGGATCGATTCTATATTCGAAACTAAATTGAATTTCCTACCCCCTAGATCTGAAATACACCAAACAAGGTTGTTCGATTGATCGATACCTTGAGCGCTTTCTCATAGCTTACCATTTATATATTTATAACTGTGATAAAAAATCGGGCAACATGACCTCAAGTTTTGGGCGACAAGACTTAGGGCGAGATAACTTTCGGGTGACTCGACCGTAAACCTCTGAAAACTTAGGATTTAGCAACCTAAACAGGAGTAATGAACGCCAGGTAAGGAATGATGATTTAAAAAAAAGAAGATGGAAAACCAAATGAGAAGACTGCTTGTGGCTTTGATAAATTTTCTTTATTCTTTCCTGCTCTATAGAGACTAATGCCTCGAGATATTAAAGAATTGAAAACCTAATTACATCCGAGCTTTATTATCTATGGCCAATTTTTTTTCCTTGCACTCTGTCGACAGAAACCCCTCTGAGAAATTCAAAGCTTTGTCAAAATTCATTACCAATTCCTTTCCGGTCAATGGCAACCTTAGTCTAGATCATACAGAGAAGAGTAGCAAGCTAGAAAAAGATTGTCCGCATATTGTTCCATTTCTGAAGTATATGTACATGTATGACCACACGACTTCCATGTAAGCTTTCCAGTTCGAGTCGTAATTAAACATTTTACGTAAATCCTCATTTCTTCAGCTCAGGTTACTCAGGCAAGGATGCCCTCGCGTGACTCCCGCGCACGCCTCTTTCGCTTGGCTGAAAGGAAACGGAAAAGACTGATACGAATCTCTATAGCAACGATATAGCACAACATGCGTTGGGCCGGGTCTGTCTGTTGTCTACTTCCCTCTCGTACAACGTTTTGTACCTTTGAGTGTAAAGTTGATAACTTTTACCCTCGGTTACTCGAATTCCCCGCTAACTCAAAGCAAAACTGATTTCCCTTGGATTTGCCTCAAATATTTACTATAATTTTAACCCTGATCACTCAGTCGAAACCCCTGTAACTCGAAACCCCGCTAACTCGAAACGATTTTTACTTCCCTTCAGATACTTTACTTTGTAATTTTACCCTCGGTAACTCAAAATCGATTTTCACTTTTGAGGACTTATGAGCCATAACTATTTGTATCGTGAGATTACCTAGATTTTCCAATAAATGTTAGATTATGAAATTTAGCGCTAATTATTCTGATGAGCAGCTACTTTATAGTACTTGTGGTTTTCATACTTTTTGTTTTGTTTTCTTGTTTTAATGCTCTTACACTGCTATAAATCTTACAATAAAACATGTATAAGCATAAAACCACTTTAATCAAGCGTTTCTGGTCTTCTTGTTCGAAACCCCGATAACTCGAAGTAATTTCAATTTCCATGGAAATTCGAGTTACGGGGTTCAACTGTATAAGTCTGGTATATTCTATACAACATTAGCTCGAAACATGCCTTTGCGAAAGGAATAAAAGGCTCTGTACTGTGAATAACTCAATTCCCCTCCTGTTCCTTTCCCGATCCCTATTATCAGCTACTGATCACGTGTCAATTTTAATTTACATGTTAAAAAAAATAAATGAATGAAAAGATAGGTTTTCGGTTCCTACTTTCACATGATTGGAATGGACACGGAACTCGCATTTCGAAACTTTAAATCTTTTGGATCGATGTCAGCATCTGAGCAAATGCGCATCCACCCCTCCCCTAATTCAACAACAGTCATCTGATAATTACTTAGGGTTAAATTTAGGTAAGGGGAGGGGTAGGTACGTAGTTGCTCAGATGCTGACATGTCATTGATCCAAACTTTTTATGGCCGCACAGAACATCATCGGTTGCGACTTCACCGTAAAAATATCACTCATCCCTTATAACCGAGACAGAAATTTTTATCTACGATCCCACCCCTCCCCTCCCCCCCCACTCGAAAAATACCTTTGGAAGTTCGTCTTTTACAATCAAAGTTGTTGTTGTTGAGTGTATTTTAATTTTTTTCCTTCTTCGCAAGAGGAGAAGGAGAAAGCAAGCTAGAAAAAGAAATTGAAATTCTCAACCCTGATTAGTCTTTAGGTCAAAACTCAAATGCAGACATCACTGAAGCGATCAACCTCCAGTTGCATACAGTGCCACTACACCGAGTCAAGAGCCATCAACCAAAACAAATGCATTGAATTTTTTCACCAAAAGAAGAAACAATAAAGAGATACTGAAGGCTTTTTCCCACATTTTGGTAAACTTCCCTCCAACACAATCATAGATCTGATTTTTTCCGTGATAGAATTTTAAGACCATAGATGTCGTGCCATTGAACGTACGCAACCGGTCATCAAGCACCTCCCTTCCTCTGACCTTCCGTTCCGTAAGAGCCTGCGCCCGCGATATGGACTAGAAAGACGATCGGAACTGCAGAAAGCAGTGCCATTTCGGAAGTGGTTTCCAATTTTTTCTCCAACGCACAGACTTTTCGCAAACCTTGCTATGTCTTGATGAAACGTTGCCCGTGATTGGGAAGTTAAACTATGGAATCATTTCACGAAGTGGTGAGCTTTTGTTGTTATCAATTATGAACAAATCCCGTTCAGTGTTTGCGGCAAAGTGTGATGGAATGAGATGCGATGTGCCTCTTTCGCCGGGATCTGCTCTTACAAAGATTTGGTTTTGTATTTTAAGGGATCTCGTGTGTGGCTTCTTGAGGGGAAAGACTGGGTCCCTGCCACTGTAACAGAATCAAACGGGGGACAAGTTACTTTCCGTACAGAATATGATAAGGTGAGTTTTCATGTAAACGAAAGTTTAAAGACAGTGTGTACGACTCGGCACGTTCTAATTGCAACAATTGTCAGGACTAGCCCTCCCATTTTGGCGTGATATAAGTTTACAGATATGACTGTTTGAATTATAAATGATCTTTCACGATAGCAGGGATATCCAACATTAAGGCGAGATCGTAAATTAACTTGTGGTTAATGAGACACATCTTTTAGTTTGTTTACTTCACGCTGATATACAGATAGCCAATAATGCAGTAATTATGGTATGGTTTCTAATTTGAGATTTAGTTCAGACGTGAGTTTGGATGCATATCCGGTTACCCATATGCGTAATTCTCGTAAAATCTAATTCTAAGGGGATTGCAAATCTTCCAATTTCAGTAGTTAATCTTATGCATTTTTACTTCGCGAAATATTTCGTTATCTTGTTAGACAAAAAACTGAGCTTTATTGAAACATTATAGGATTTTTCCTATTTTCATTTTCTTGACGAATTCTCGGAGAGTTGATTTTTGCTATCGACTATTTGTTACTGAACACCTTGTAAAGTGCCAAGATCTTCACAATTGTCACCATACATGGATATCAACGAGTACTTGGCACTGTGTTCAAAGGTGTGACTAAGCTTTCCAAACAAACGATTAAAATTAAGAATAACAATACTGGATTTTGATCGACAAAGGAATAATCATTTTCGTTTAAAACAATTATCTGATGAAAGCTTTGTTTTCATTTTTCTTTCATGGTGTGTTAATTATTCAGCAAACCTTGTGCCTGATTCATTAATTATACAAGTCTGTTAAAGAGAGGATTTTAATTTTAGTTTTTAGAAAACAAACTGTTTAGTTTTGAGTTTAAAATTTTGATATTTTACATCTGAAGACTTTAGTTTCTGTTGTTTTAGAAACTATTCCATAACCCATTAACCCCCTCTGAGAGACTAGCATCTACTTTCTACTCATGGTATCAACCCTGGATTTATCATGGAGGTCTTGAGAGAAATGGAAATGATGACCAGCTTAAGAAACATTTGATTGCTACACACATTCTCCTTATCATGTGTAGAAGACAGTATTGAGAATATGTACACTAGCGCTGGGGTGAAAAGGTTTACTGGTGGAGAAGAAGTGAGGAAAACAGTTGTAAATAAAATTACTGGGTTATTCTGCTGATTGTGTCACTGATGGTCTGAACGCATTTTGACATCTTCTTTGGTCTATTACTGAACAGACCCATGACAACGTAGTCTCTATGTGTTTTTTATAAAGAAGAGACAAAAATATTGTTTAAGGGTGACATCTATACATCTGTCCTTCAATACATCATGAGTAAAAACCAATTATATATGCGCAATACAACCAATCATGTAATAAGACATATCTCCACTGAGGAACTGGCCAACCATTTGTCAGATATTGGTTGATCAACTAAGCAGTTTTCAAGTAACTGTCAGTCAGTCAGTCAGCCAGTCAGCCAAAGACCTACTGTTCACCAATATTTTAGTGTCAAGTAGTGACTGATATATCGACTAAGGCTTCCATATGTACAAAGTGCTTAGTCAAGGTCATCCCATTTACAATCTTGAAGGTCATGTTTCTTGTAGCTAATGTCTTTTCTGTTCCATTTTTTAACCAGTTTAAGGTCTCAAACTTCTCAACCATAGACATTGTAATTAGACAAAACCTGAAGGGAAGAGTGGCTGCCCTTGAAATTAAAAAAAAATTGATTCTGGAGTGTAAATACATGTATGTACTATTGAGTCATAACCTCCCAACAATTTTTCAAAAATTTCTTGCAGACATCATTGAGTTGTGAAATAGTCAATTCCATTTCTTTTTTTCTGTAATCCTTTTTGGATCATGCTTGACTTGCTTAGGAAAAAATAATTGAATCAATACATTAAACAGACGAGTGACTTTACATTATACAAATTAATGAAAATAATATTAAGATTGATGAATTATTTTCATTTATTTATTTTTTGCATATTTGCCAGACCTATAATATTGCTAAAGAGTCACTAAACAGACAGAATGTTACAGCAATGCATCAGACCAGTGTGGAAGGAGTGGATGATATGGCCAACTTAGGTGACCTCCATGATGCTGCTATCCTGCACAATCTCCATCTCAGATTCACCAGTGACAAGATATATGTAAGTTTCAAGTCTTTATTGCAGAAGTTGCTTTAACCCACTCTGAAAACAAACAAACACGCAACCAGAACTTGTGGAAACAATCTTTGCCATGGCAGCAATATAGATGTATAGATTGTCACCATATTTTGCAACTCGCATGAAAAAATGTTTACAAACAGGTTGCTGTATGCGGCTTGGGATATTTTCTTTTGAGTATTCTATGGAACAGGTTAATGAACAAATTGAGATTTCCTTTCCTCTGTAGCAACTACAAAACCTTCTCTCATCTTAACCTAAAATTGAAACAGAGACTTTTTGTAGTGGATGGAAGGTTTGAAAATAGGGGAATATCACTTGGGTGTTATTCTTGGATATTACCCAGTCTTCCTGCAGCTGGGGGATATTAGGTTACTTGCTATGTCTAGACCGATCGTGCATGAGCAAAAATAATTGCCAGATTATAATTGCTATTATTTGTAATACACATGCATCCTTCTTTTCTTCACCCAATGATGTTTGAGTTTAGATATGATTAAATACACACTTTTTAAACATCCTTTTCTTTTCAGACCTACATTGGATCAATATTGTGTGCAGTAAATCCTTATTATGTAATTGAAGGACTCTATGATAGATCAGTAATGGCAGATTACAGAGAAAGGCATATTGGTGAGCTTCCACCCCATGTGTTTGCTATTGCAAATGAATGTTACTATTCCATGTGGAAAAAGGGAGAAAGTCAATGCATACTCATAAGGTATGAATGATACTTTTGTCGTTATTTTATTACAAAGTGATTCAGTCTCTGTACTTACTATATGCATAAGGTAAAGCTATACTTTATATAGGCTTGTTTGTACCCAACACATGTACCTGTGGCATTGATAACAAGGAATTTGTGTTCCATTTACCCAGAAGTGATTAACATGTTACTTCTACCTACAATCTTCAGTCATTATCCAGCAAACAGTTAATGAGAAGACTCAAACTGATCAGGTGGATTGTTATCTTGATGTACCACCAAATGCTTGTGACTAATTTAGAAGGGAATGTGCAGCATCCAGAGGGGAGAATTAACAATCAGATCATTGAGAAGTCCTCAGATGCCCACATGTATAGTCTTCATTTGTACAACAGTATCAATTGCATATGCCTTATACTTGTAGTATGTTTTTAAACGTTAGCTCTGTGAATGTCTCTGAAATATCATCTTATGTGGTTTTTTTCTTTTTCCTGTATTTATAGTGGTGAGTCTGGAGCAGGCAAGACAGAATCTACAAAGTTTATACTAAAGTATTTATCAGATGTCAGCAGAGGAACTGGGGAATTGGAAAATATCCCAAATGTAGATGATGCCATTCTGCAGAGCAGGTAAAAATGAATCAGTAACTTAGCAATGCAGTTCCTTATTACACTATGAAAATAATTGTGGTATAGTGGCTTTAAATTAAGTTGTAGGTTTGTTTACAATGTGTAGGAGTCTGCATTTAACACTTGAGTAGTGAACAAGTATGGAACTGAGCAGTGCATTCAAAATACAGTACAAAAAGGTAATTTGGTATAATCAATGGAGTTGATAGCTTTAAGAGTTTTGAAGCTGACATTTCAAGCATTCACTATTCTCTCTGAGGAAGGGCTGATGCTTGAAAACCTCAGCTTTGAAACTCTTAACTGTGGCCAATTTACATTATCAACTCAGTTGATAATACCAACTTACCTGGTTATACTCTCCCAATGATGCACAGCAATGCACAGTACTATTCACAATACAATACAGTTTATTTCATTAGTGGTCATCAGATATGACACTTGCCTTCATGTGAGTAAAGAACTTATTTAAACTTACCTTGTGGTTAGATGGCTCAGCTGCTGGAAGCACAGTTAGTAACTGGGAAGGTCAGATTTGAATCTGTCAAAGCCTGAATTTTTCAAGTTTCTTTCTGTAATTTCTCCCATTGCAATTTACTTGTGAAGATCATTATTTTTTTAACTTTACCCCCTTCACTCACAAGGCCTCATTAGTTATTCTCCTCGCTGTCTACCATACAATTTGGAGAATTTGGTTTTGGATCGACAAACAATCCCTTTATTTATAAATTTTTTTTTCACCCTCATCACTTGTCTGCTTGATATTGTATTGGTATTGTAAGGAGAAATTCTGTATTGGTCACTTGGAGGGTTTTTGTCAATCTTATAATTTCTTGACATGGTTTATTCTTTGCACAGTCCCATCATGGAAGCCTTTGGAAATGCAAAAACTGTTTACAACAACAACTCAAGTAGATTTGGAAAGTTCATTCAACTGCAGTTCAATGCCAAGGGTCAAATGGATGGAGGAAAAATAAATGACTGTATCCTTGTAAAGACTAAAGAGATCTAGTAAATAAAATAATTGAAACTGGAAAGGCTTATCATAGACAGCATGAATTTCCATGAATACACTAATTGTAGGGCAGTCTATAAGGGTGGTAATGCAGTAACCTGTAACAGTTGTTATGGCTTACCTCACAGGTTGTTGGGAGTGAAGATGTCAATTGCTGTCAGGTGACATCTGGGCACCTATTACATTGCTATGGGTGATATCTCTTATGTAATGGCTGCTTCGAAACTTAGAGATAGCCGTGCCCTAAGTATACATGCACATTCTTGTTCAAGACCCAACTGGGTGGGAAAGAGGTGGATCCAATTAAGGGTGCTGATTAAGTTGTTGAGGTGTTGTGTATATGCAGGGAGGGATGAGCAGGAAGGAGAGTTGTGACTATTTTACTGGACAAGCAGTTCCATAAAAGAGGAAGTAGTGCTAGGATGAATGAGTCAGGTAACCCAATCAAGTAGTTCAGGAGGCTTTGGGATGGTGTTGGTGAGGTTGGGGGGGGAGGGGGGGGGGTGTCAAGGAAAGTGATGATGCAGGTGGTGCTAGGATAATGTTTTGTTTCAGTGTAAGTGTTAAATGAAGCATCGTTTCATTACAACCTTGACACACATCTATAATATAAATAACAGTCCTTTTGGAGAAGGTAAGTTTTAATTGAGATCTTCCTTTTACAAGTTACTTACTCTTTAGGTAATCTTGTTGGAATAAACTCTCAATAATCAAAGTACAAACTTACTCATTTTTAATAAATTACTAAAGGAAGAAAGTTATGACTTTCCAGGAGCTTACTCTCCTGGGACCAGAACAGTTGTGTGTGCTCTGAATTAAGTTCTTACTTTTATTTATTTTTAGATCAAAAACTTAAAAGATCATCTTGTTTTTGCTATCTCTCCTTTAGAATCGTGTAGTCAGACAAAATCCAGGTGAAAGAAATTACCACATATTTTATGCCCTTCTGGCTGGGGCATCTGATGAACAAAAAAGTGAGTACTTGTGAGTCACATGAGTCAATTGCTTTGACATCTTAAGGCTCTCATTATTGGCACAGGGAAGAATAATTATTTAAATGTACGTTGTATGGTTTGAGGGTAGAGGTGTACATGGAGAATGATGCATGTTAAAAAGGGTGCAGTCAGTGGGTCACTGCCCTTTCAAGCACGTGCCTGTAAGAACTCATAACTGTTTAGGCCATTGTATATTCTTCTTGCATGGCATGCCTCTCACTGTGACTCAGTCCTCCTGCTAGGAGTTTCAATGGGTGCTAGGAGACTACCAATAAAAACTGTAATGGACAAGTGCAATACTTACAGCTGCTCCCTTTATAGCTTCGATAGCATCAGTATCAAGTACTAGGCCTTTATTTTTGCCTACTCTTCCATCTTGCTTTGTTTGCAGTTAAGTGTAACTTTTGCCGTACCCTGTTTGAGAGAGCAGTAGCCATATCTGTCTTTCCCTTGGTGTGTTTGATGTACGTGTATATTTTATCCGTGAAATGATTGTAGATTTTTAGATGTAACTGTATGGGACTACCTGTTTCCTCATCCTTAGTTATGATTTGTTTTAGGTACATTGCTTCTTAATTCTCCGGAGAAGTATTACTACCTGAAACAGAGTGGTTGCTATGGAGATCCATCGATTAATGACAAGGACGATTTCAACAATGTCATGGTAAGGCAATGAAGAGTGCGATATTTTGGATGAATTTGTCTTTAATGTAAATCTCCCTGATTACACTGAGTGATGACTTACAATGCTCAAGAATTGTCGATATACATCACCGCTTAAAAGTAAGTTGATAGTCTAGACAAGAAACTTGATTCTCGATACCAGAAACTATCGAGAATCAAAGATCGAGACGCACGTAGAACTGTTAGAGGATCTCGATTCCTAGTTTCGAGAAAATGATTTAATTCTCTTACGTAAAACAATAGTGAAGAACAGTCATCCCACAAAATCTGAAAACAAGAGACTGTTAATTTAGAGGGTATTTTAAAGGTAGTTTTGTAACAGAAGAAGCTATACTTCACTAGATCATAAATGGATTGGAAATAAATCTTTGTTGCCCACTTTTCTAACATTTCTGCTCCAAACTTCATCAGAATGCTATGAAAGTGATGTGCTTCACGGAAGAGGAGATCTCTGATGTCCTACAAGTCATTGCTGGAGTCCTACAGCTTGGGAATGTTCATTTTCTGGCTGCGGGCGGCGCACAAGTTTCCGAGAAAAGTGGTATGTATCGATAGTGGTTTTATAGTTCCTCATACTTTTTGCTAACTTTCGACTGAAATAAGAAAAGAAAGAAAATTAAAGTGCAGCCGTACTTCGTGATACAAACGCATTACTGTATGCTAAGCTTAAGCGTTACGCGCGCTAGCGCACCTCCATAACTAAGTGACTATGTTCACCTTCCAAACCGAGAAAATTTGATCGTGTCATTGCCGTTGAATTGAATTTTGAGAACAAAAGAAAAAGTTCATAACGTGGAGAGTTTTACGGCCACCGGCTCAGTATATGTAGGAGCCCTGTTCGTTATGGTATAACTGACTGATAAGACGTGCGCCTGGAGCAAAATGAATTTATTTTGTTGAAAAGTGAAGTAAGGGAAAATCTGCAAATTTCGAGAAGGACATGGCCTATTAAGTGAAGAGTCTTTTTCGCGGTTTGAGCAGTTATTTATCCTCGACAACTTGAACGTAATTATATTTCCTTAAACAGTCTTAGAAAATGTGGCAAACCTTCTTCGTGTGGATATCTACGAGTTAACGGATGCTTTGACGCAGAAATCAATGATCCTCCGAGGCGAAGAAATCCAGTCACCGCTCTCTGTTGAACAGGTGGGTCAACTGGGCGATGTGTACATAATATATATATATATAGCAAGGCAATCGGCTGCCATTGTATCTTTCTTGGCAACAGTTGGCGAACTTTCACGGAAACTTTACGAATTGTAGAGATTAGTATTCCATGCAAGAAGTAGTAGTAGCAGTTGAAAATGTGAGCAGTACTCTTGGGCTCTTGGTTACTTCATGCCACAGAAATCAGGATTAGTTGTGGAAGTGATGAGTCATTAGTATCGCAAGACCTACTCCCAATGCTTCGCCGGAAAAGAGGAAAAAGCAAAAGAGGGGGCTCATCCATGATGTTAAAAGCCCTGCGTCTTGGGTGCAGTTGCACGTGACAAATCAGAGAGACAGAGAGAGGGTCAATTTGGTGAGCAGTCATTTTGTACTAACTTTAACTTTACTTTGATGCACAGGCGTTGGACTCTCGAGATTCAATGGCAATGAACCTCTACGCTTGCACATTTAAATGGCTCATCAACAAGATAAACCAAAGGATCAAAGGGTCTGATCTCTTCTCTTCCATCGGTGTTCTAGATATCTTTGGATTTGAGAACTTTGATGTAAGTTTTCAAATTTATTTATTTATATTTTCATTCTCACGTGGATTCTTGTGTATCGATCTTTCTACAAGAAGGAACCTCTACCAGCAGTTATCTTCTAAGTCACCACAACTTGAAACATGTTTTTGTCCAATCACCAGGTTAACAGGTTTGAGCAGTTCAATATCAACTACGCCAATGAAAAGCTTCAACAGTACTTCAACAAGCACATCTTTTCTCTGGAACAGCATGAGTACAACAGGTATTTAATCAACGTGTTGTTGAACAGGTGTTTGTTTTGTGGTTGTTGCTGTTATTTTTAACATTCTTGTGCATTTTACCAAACTCGAACAAGGAAATTCAAACCCAATGAATGATTTCACATCGTTGTTTAGTGTGGGGTTTATGCAGATCAGTTTCAATGGTGTCCACGACGAATAACGGTCGCTATGTCATTAGTGTAGTTACAAACTTTTAGTTCGTGATTTAGCGGACGTTGAATTGGCAATACGCCTCGAACACTGCGAAGTGAAAGCTGGGATCTAGAAGTTTATTATTTTTTCGTTTTGCTTTAACAATGCTCGTTAACGAGTCAAATCGATGGCGATTTGACTCCCCGTGGTGGCGAGTTTGGTTGTGGCGAGTTGACGGGCTACCATGCGTAGATAATCCAAATTTGTTAATTCAATCCTTAGGGAGGGGCTGGAGTGGGCAGATATTGACTGGGTGGATAATGGGGAGTGCCTGGACCTCATTGAAAAGGTAAGTTTCACTTGCATGTCTCCATGTTTGGAGCCTTGACTTCAACGATGTCGCCTCTATCCGATTTTTTAATCAAACAGAAGAACCATGAAGATTCTATTAAGTCTGCAAAGTTTCACATGAACCGATAAGACCCCAACCTGCCAATTGGTACTAAGAAATGAACTTCCCTCGAGCAAACATTTCTTTGCGGCAATTTGCAATTTTGAAATTGCACGAGTTTGTAACGGATTTCAATGAAAGTTTTGCTGATGAACCAAAAGCGTCTCAATGAATTGCTATATACCATGTGCAATGTGTTTTGTGTGTGTGTTTTGCACTTGTTTTGTCTTGCCTTTTCACTTAATGAGGGTAAGAACCATCACTTAATACTGAGTGAAATAATTATGTTTTAATGCATTAATACAAATTTTCGCATTCCTCCTCAACGCTCCTCAGAAACTTGGTGTGCTGGCTCTGATTGATGAAGAAAGTAACTTTCCTAAAGGAACCGACGGATCCATGTTAGACAAACTTCATTCAAGTCACGAGGTTTGATTTTTTAGCAATCATAATCAACTTGCTTCACTTGCTAAAAAGTAATGCCGTACATGGTCACATGATGCTATAAGACAAGTTATACTTGACTTCTCTATTTTGAACCTGAGAGACAGTGTAGATTAAAAATTATGACTAATAAAACGATGCGAATATAGTTTTGGACTTGAAAATACTTTCTTTAACAGGGAAACACCTTTTACGTGAAACCACGGGTGGCAAACACAAAGTTTGGAATCAAGCATTATGCAGGAGAGGTACAACTGTAGATCGTTTGAACCACCTTTCACTGAATTTTTGAACTGGTAGAATATTTTTTAATTCTTTAACCGCCAATGTCTGACTTTCTAGGTATTTTATAGCACCAAAGGTTTTCTGGAAAAGAACAGGTACAGTTCCATGATTTTGTAAAAATGAATTTAGAGATTGTTCTCATGTAATTCTCTCACATCAGTGGAACTATTCGATATCTTTGCTGCTATTATCAGCTTCGGTTATACCAAGCTATTTAAGCCACGACAGATTTTATTTGTTGGTCGTTAACTGTAAATCTTGCGTTGAAATTTCTCTGGAGGTACACAGGCTGAAACCTGAATCAATCTGAGAACAGTCGGCACAATGAACCAAATAGTACACACTCTGATTGGTCGTTGTCTTTGACCTATCAGAGTACAGACGGACGACTGACGTCATACGAGAATTTCGACTTTTGCTTTGTCCGAAGTGACGTTTAGGTTTGAAAAGGTTTGAGAGAGTTGGAAAAAAGATAGGAAAAAAGCTTCAAAAATTAACCTGGAGATGTGATTGGATAAGTATTTGAACTAAAATGCGGTATGTGTTTCATAGGGATGCTTTTCGAGACGAGATCCTCAATGTTCTAATGCAGAGCAGGTAAGTTGTTGGACATTTAGGCGAGGAGCCAATCATTAACTTTAAAGAACGGGGTTCGTTAGCCTCAAGAGTTTTTTCATTCAACGCCCAAAGTGTAGGAAGGTCCTTAAATCACCTAAGTAAATGCTTGTCCCAGGTTCCCTTAAAAGTTAAATGCTCCATTCGTGCCCTTTTCGTCCACAAACGACTCGCGGCATAATTGAATGCGATTGTTTTAGATTATATGAAAAGTCACCCTTGACTGTAATTATATCTCGGATTGGTTCTAAGATTTTTAAGTTATTAGAGTTCCAAAATTTGCGGGTGCTTACAAAGATTTTGTTTTTTAGAGTGGAATTATTTCAGCGATATATATCGAGTGCGAGTGTAAGGTCGATGGGGCCGCAAAATTTCATGACATGAATTATGACTCGCGGCATAATTGAATGCGATTGTTTTAGATTATATGAAAAGTCACCCTTGACTGTAATTATATCTCGGATTGGTTCTAAGATTTTTAAGTTATTAGAGTTCCAAAATTTGCGGGTGCTTACCAAGATTTTGTTTTTTAGAGTGGAATTATTTCAGCGATATATATCGAGTGCGAGTGTAAGGTCGATGGGGCCGCAAAATTTCACGCAACCGTTTATATGTAAATTACTATCCTTTCTTGGGGCAGCTCTAGATATCATATACTGATGTCGATAAGTGTTCAAGCTTTGATACTGATCAAACTCATGAATTCTTTTTAGGTCGGACTTTATTTACGACCTCGTTGAACAACTGAAACCCTCTGTACCGACGGCAGGAACCAAGAAGTCCTCAAGGAAGAGACCGACTGTTAGCTCACAGTTCAAGGTCTGTCTGGCAATATTTAGTTAAATAACAACATTTCCTGCACTCTCTTGTTCTCTTCTATTTAGCCTGGTGGTGTTGTGCGCGCTTGGCTGTTGAAGTCTCACATCGTGGACAAAAGTAAAGGGATTGGGAAATTCTCTCACCCTTAGTTACAAAGACACTTGCGCATTTGAGTACAGTTGATTTTCCACCTTGGCGTTTTCTCATTTTGCGTCTCGTTGTATCTGCAAAATCCACGTTATGTTACTGCCATAAACTTGCTACAAACGTTGCCGGCGTGCTCATCTGAAGTGATAATTCTGTTGGTGTCCTCTCACAAAGGCCTCTAAACTCCGATAATTTCCCATTTAAAGCTATAATTTACCAGTTGATTAACTTCTTGTTGTTTTTCTCGTTTTAGACATCCTTAGCATCACTTATGACCACACTGAGCCAGTCGCATCCCTATTTTGTACGTTGTATCAAACCGAATGAAAAGAAGGTACGTTAAATTTAGCACAATGTGATTGCCAGTTTTATACTGCGCTGTGGCGATTTAGGATGGATTGATGGATGGACTTCATGCCACTGACTCGTAATACAACTGTAACGTACCCACTTCATAATATTTAAGGGCCATTGTTTCCACAGGTGAAATAACATGCCAGGTTTACATTTATCTTTACAGCTGCCACAGTTCTTTAACCCCAAGCTTGTTCTCAATCAATTGAGGTATTCAGGAATGCTGGAGACTGTTCGGATTCGTCGAGCTGGGTATCCTGTAAGACGAACCTATGAGGACTTCTTATTCAGGTACAAAGTTATCGTCAAAGTTATTGCACTCAGGGAAGGAGTCTTTATTGGCCCCTATCAAAGAGATGGTTTCTGTGTTATGTCATACCGCGTTACATGACGTCTTGTCTTGACTTGACACATGTCATGTCAGTTCACGTAAGGTCACGCAATGTCACTCAAAAATTTTTACTCAGAAATTTATCTTGTATTCGTTGTGTCTAGATACAAAGTGCTTTTCCGTGGGAAGAATTTGTCTGGGGATAAAAGTGATTGCTCCATGCTCCTTCAAGAGTTTGACACCGAGAAACAGTCCTTTAAACTTGGGAATACCAAGGTAAAGAAGCTGATAATTTCACTGTTGAGGAATTGATTTATTTGATGTGGGGTAAACGTTTGCTTAAAGGCTAAAATTTCAAGATAATTGGTTCACAGAGATTTATATGGTAAAATGCAAATTTTTCTCGAACAATGTCGGCTAACATTTTAAATTTGATTTAAAAACTTCACTTAAATTGCTTTTAGCGACTATTCGTCCAAAACAGCTGCTTTGGACTGTTTTTAGTGCATTAAACTCTCGGTTATGAAAGGAATGGTATTAAGATTTTAGATATATGAAAATTCACATATTTGCACTGCGGTGGAAAGATGAAATTAGGAGATCCTCGCAGCTAAGAACACTACTGAAACGAGTAGTTGTAAATAGAAAAAAAAAAAAAAATTCAGGCCCGTACAGGATTTGAACCCATGACCTCTGCGATACCGGTGCAGCGCTCTACCAATTGAGCTAACAAGCAGACTGGGAGCTGGTCAATGAATTGGGTCCAAATAAACATCCAAGTGAATGAAGATTTTAGATATATGAAAATTCACATATTTGCACTGCGGTGGAAAGATGAAATTAGGAGATCCTCGCAGCTAATAATTTACAGTGCAGCTGTTCGGGGACAAAGACTATCGTTTCCATTCAGAACTAAAAACATTTTGGGGAATTTCACATCTTCCGGTCAACGCCCTGATTTATTTGTATTTTAATTACCTGTTTTGCTGATTTTGGGCTTTTGTCTAACAGGTTTTTATGAAAGACAACTTGGAATATACGATAGAGCGGATGAGAAATGAGCAGTTGGAAGCTGTTGCAATGCTTATCAAACGAAGAATCATTGGTTACCTTCAACGGAAGAAATATCTAAAGATTCGCCAACACATAATTTTGATTCAAAAGAACTACAAGGTATTCTAGTTTTAGCCGAAGCATACAACGAATTTATATGCTTTTGTTTATAGATAAATACTCATCTCAAGTCTCTGTTCCTTGCATCTGTAGCCTTGTTGGATGGCATAAGTGAAGAAATTTATATCTTAGTGGAATTAAGTAGCTGCTTCGCTTAAACCGTCTAGTCCTCGAGTTCGGATTCATTTACATCGACTAGGAATCCCTAACCTTGTATAGTATAGTTTGCTGTTACTACTTGTTTCGAATCTACTCTCGTCTCCTTGTGGAACATTCACTTTTAAGGATGATTTTGTTTCTAAGGTCATGTCACATAAGAACGAAACTTGTCTTGGAAATCTTCTCCTAAGTCATTGAGATTTTAAACCTGGCACACCGTGGGACGAAAATTAGTTCCTCAGTTCCAATTAAGGGCATCGGTGCTCCACTATGCATGCTAAAGAGAACTTGTGAGAAAGCTTTTGTTGGTTATATACTAGCTTCACATTAATTTTGAGTAGCGTCCAGTCTATGGTTAGCATCAAGATGGGCAAGGTTGTCTTGTGTGTAAGAAAATACCTACTTCTAAAGAAAATGTGGTATTCGTTTTCTCTCTAGGCCCATTACTATCGCAAACTTTACCACAAGAAGCGGTTGGCGGCTATTGTCATTCAAAAGGTAAGACACTTTGTAGAATTCTAATGAATTCAAAACCTCTGTTTTTATTATTCGCCGTTCACAAATTTTGAACCTGAACACGTACGACGTGGATATAGAGATCGTAATTGCTTTTCAGTATGAAAGACGACGTACGGCTCAAGCACTTCTCAAAAGACTCCTCGAGGAGAAAAGAATCGAAGAGGAACGGAAACGAGAGGAAGAAAGAAGAAGAGAAGAAGAAAGAAGGAGGTTTGTATCGCTTCTTCTCAGCTTTTTTTAATGGTAAATACTTCACCAAATTTTTAGACGTATTCTGCGACGAACAAAATCTAATTCTCTAAAATTTGTTCTTCAATGGGCAAGAACTATTGTCGTGAGCTATAAGTCACGTAAATGGAATGGACTTGATTACTTCTGTTAAGATGCAATCGTTACGATCTTTTTCTGCGCAGAGAAATGGAAAGACTCGAACAGGAGAGAAAGATTCAGGAACTCGAGGAACTCCGTCGAAAGGTAAAGTGGAGTAACGTTTAGATTTGAAAAATACAACAACATATTCAGCTGAGGCACATGTCTCAAATAATTGTTGTTCATTTGTAAGATTAACTCATCGTGGCCAACAAATGTTGCATTTCTTCTTTGCCCATAACCGTTTTTATTTTGAAAAATTATTTTTGAATGAATCGTTAAAAGCGTGGAACAAAAAAAGTTTAGTGAAGTAAACTCTCGCCAATATTATTTTTGAATGATGTGATACGCGTTATTGAAACGTGGAATGTCTGTAATTTTTTACAGCCTTGACAGAAAAAATTAAAATATTTTGACAAACAGCAATCTCTAAGAGAGAGGTAAATCTTGCTTTTCAAAAACCTTTGACCCCAAAGAAGAACTAGATTCTAATTTCTCTTTACAATGTCATCCCTGAATCACGCATCAAGGTCGCGAGAATAAGAGAAATGATTACCAACTAAAGGACCTCTCGATTGTTAAACATATTCTCCTGACCCTCACATTAGAAAATGTATAGAGAACAGTATGGAGAATATGCATACTGATGTTAGATTGTAGAGGGTTAAAGCGCAAATCTGTCGTCCTTTCCAACAGGCCGAAGAAGAAGCCAGGCTTAGGAGGGAGGAGGAAGAGGAAAGACTTCGAAAAGAAGAAGAACAGAGACAAGCGGTGTTGGCAAAAGCAAGAGAGATTGAAGAGGCGAGGAGACTGGAAGAAGAGGCCAAGAGGAAGGCAGAGGAAGAAGCTCGCCGAAAGGTAAATTATTTTTTGTTGTTTCCCGTTCCTTGGTGCATTTTGATCTCAAAGATGTAGCTGTATCTTCCTGAAAAGATAGCGCAATTCAATTCTAAAGTTTCTGATATGCTGCATTATTTTGTTTTGTTCGGCATAAGGGAAGCGAATTATTTAAACGAAAATACGATTACCTTAAGGGCGCAATGTTGGCGCGAACAATGTTTAGATGATCAACTTTGTATTTTTCCGTCGCAGGAATGCATTTAGAAATTATCACATCGAGTGAAATACAAATGCCCACAGCGATAGCATTCGTGTGAAAGAGTACACGCATACAAATGCCCACAGCGATAGCATTCGTGTGAAAGAGTACACGCATACAAATGCCCACAGCGATTGCATTCATGTGAAAGAGTACACGCAAATGTGTTTTGTGAATGAAAAGAGACTGTTGGACGTATTAAAATACACGCAGTTGCGTATAAACCGCTGCACGCGTGTAATTTTCCTACTGCACGCGCGTTTAGTTACCACGCGCTCCAAGGTGCGTGTGATTCTCACATGTAACACGCTTTTGACGCGCGTGTGGGGTGCTGTAGTACACGTGAGTGGTACTGTATGTACCCATGTTTTCATCATGGCTCATTCGCGACAAATATAAGTTGTCACGTGAGCCACTGTGGAGGGAAGAGTGGTAAGATTAACTAACGTGCGTTTGTTTTTCGTGTCAGGAAGAAGAGGAGAAAAGACTTCGTGAAGAAGAGGAAGCCAGGTAATTATGTGTTGTTTGTGAAATACGTGTAGTATGAGTATGAACTACGTTTGTGGTCAAAATGGTTCGTGTAATAGTTCATTATTCTATGGTAATTACAACAGAATACACGTGATTAGCGAGAGGTTAGTTGAAAACGCATACTTTTTTAATTGAACTAGTTGTGACATAAGTGTAAATAAATATTCAACTCGTTATCTGTTTATAGTGTTTAATCTGACTCGTACGATCTTATTTTTTAAAACAAAAACAATTATTATAATATTTGATAAAAGGAGACTAAACGAAACGAAATACTACTTACGAGATTTGTAAGTCTAAGAGAAAACGGGATCCGCGAAACGCAAAACTTTATTCTCTCACAAGCACATGATCTAGGTCATACTATGCATATCTAACCCGGTGTCGCGCGGTTAGGGCAAAACTAAATAACACGTATTGCAATCAACAATAAGGGTGGTATGGTGTGAGTTATTGCCAGGAAATGTGTTGATTTTTTCTAAGGGTTGTAAAGTTATTTCTACGTTTTGAGGTCGTAACCAAGGACAAGGGGCAGTCAGGTTGAAAAAGACCCTCTAGTCGTTGACAACAAAGGGATCGCATATGATAAAAATGGGTTGGCATGCTCATCAGTACCAGTACTCCCCCTTCTTCCTCTTGTATTGGAAAATCTTTGTAAGGTGCTTACTGAGTGTTCTTGTTTGAGGGTGTTCAGACGTATGCGCACGCCGTAGTCAAAGTTTTTGTGTGGTTACTCGAAAATTCACACCGTGTTGTTCGTCGATTTTGTGCTAACAGAAAGAAAGCAGAAGAAGAGGAGACACTTCGTAAAGAAGCTGAGGCTGAGGCGGCAGCTCAGATTGCTGAGTTAGACAGACAGCTGAAGGTAATACTGTAGGCGTTTTTGTGTGAGATGAAAGGCCTAATTGGAGGGGGAAGGGGGGAGGGGGGTGCTAGTCACAATTTGTAAAAGGTGGAAAACCACCACCAACTACGAAAACGCGGGTGTGTGGGAGTCGCTACCTCACCTTCATCTTGTTGTTGAGGAATCCTTCATTCTCACCCCTCTCTCCTCTTGTCACTCGTTTTTCGTGCTTTGGAAAGTGCATTGGTCTTGTTGCTGTGTGCGCTGTACTGTATATCTGGTGAACTGGGTGCGAACCCTCTCCTTGGTCATTGCGTGATATTCTCGGTTAGAAACTTTTGCTGTCAAGAGCATTCTGTTACCCAGACTACCCCGCGCGGAGAAACCAGGAAAAGTTTGAAGCAGGGGCGCTGGATCAGGGCGATGTTTGTTTGCTTGTTTTTTTCTTTGTTTATTTGCTTAAAATGAAAATTTATCTCACTTTACAGCTGGAGGATAGTGATGAAGAAGATGAAGATTCAGAGGAGGCCTGGGAAAGACCACCCAGTTTGTACGAGACTCAGGATCTGCCAATAAGAGAGGGTTACCTCATGATGAGAGGTCAGTAGGTCAGAGGTCAGAAGTAATATTATTGGTGGCAAAGGCCGGGTCAAGTCTGTTCATTAGTGAATAAGTCATCTGGATGTGATCGAAAAATAATGTAAAAATGGATGTACTTATCAGTGGGCGGGTGTTACATACTTTGAATTCACGAAATTCTTTATGTTAATTTGTAAGAAAATGCATAACAGTTACAGGGGAAATTACTTAAGAAATCAATAAATTAAAAATCTTCCAGGTGGTTTACTGAGTTTGTGGAAGAAGCACTGGTGCGTACTGAGAGACGACACTTTCATGTGGTTCAGAGGAAAGCAGGTTTGACCATTGAAAAGTCACGTGGCCGTTATCTGTGAAGCTTTGTTGTGATTAATTTAGTATTGTAAATCCGAGTTGTTATCATAAATTGGCCACCGTAAAGAGTTTCAAAGCTGACGTTTTGAACTTTAGCCCTTCGTTAGAGCAAATGACGAAGGGCTCTGACGAAGGGCTAACGTTCGAGGCGTAATCTTTGAAACTCTTTATGGTGGTCAATTTACGTTATCAACTCAGCTGATAACACTTAATTACCCTGTTATACTCTGTCACCGAAGCAGCAGCACAGTTTCTTTAGAAACATACCTTTTATTATATTTGTTCTTGGTAAACTAAGTCGCAGGCGCTCGGCAACAACACCAGTGACATGTGCGCGCGACAGGTCAGACACACTAGACACACGCATGCCTTTTTGCTTGCCCGTTTTGGTCTGAATCTCCAGTGCTTTGTTAAATTGTGTGCTAACTGCGCAAGCTACGTTCTGAGCTACCTAAAATTTTGGCTCTATAAGTATCTGTTGTTACTTTGATGTAAACAATCACATTGCTGACTTACAAACAACGGTATTGAATGGGACTTCCATCATTAATTACCTGCAGTTCCAACTCTGGAAAATGGCTCCCTTTCCAATCTCTTGTACTCCAATCTGTATCACTGAAGGCGATCGAATTGTTTTTCCGTATCTTAATGTGATTTTTTTTTTCTTGTCTCTATAGCTGCATTTGTTAAGGGCGATTGAATACCTTAAGTGGGCTTTTAATTCTTTATCAGTGAAATTTTGCTAGTATCTGCAATTTTTGACCCTTTTTTTCAATTGTTCATTAAAGGATGCTCTGAAATGTGGCTGGTTAATGAAGAAAGGTGGCGGAACAACGACATTATCAAGGTATAAGAAAAGGGAGTCTCTTTGTAATTCAATCGTAGCGCAAAAAACAAGCAAACGAACAAACGAACAGATAAAAAGAAAAAACAAACGGGAAAAAGAAAGGAGTGGTGATTACGATACCTTGCTTCACTCAGGAGTGTCCCTGCAACCGAAGGAAATGCCGGGGAAGGGAGGGTACAAAGCAAGTCATTGGGGAAATGGGGACGAAGCGCCAAGGCGACCACCATCTGGCGTACCTAACCGTTAGTGGACGATATAGGGTGGGATAAGAGAAATAAAGTACTATTTCTTCTGATGATCAAATCTCAAATCACAGCTAAGAAGCCATTTACCGGATTTCTTAATTCCTTTAGGCGCAATTGGAAACGCCGATGGTTTGTGCTGAAGGACAATGTTCTGACTTATCATGAGAGTGACCAGGAAGGATCCAAAAGCCTGGGAACCATTGACATCAGAAATGCAGTGTATGTAGACATGTTTACAGGATCATACCTAGACCTTTCTGTTGCGTAGGCGAAGAAGAGCATTTTTGGAAATCTAGTTGGAGGCCATTTCTATACTTTGAGCATGCGCAACTTACATAGAAGCGATACTTTTGTTTTGAACTGTAACCTGTAGGAGTATGACACAATATGCACTTCTTTAATCGTCCAGAATCGCTAATCCTAATTTATCTATGTTATACATGTATTTTCGTTAGTTACTTTCGAGGACACAATTTTTCCCTTTGAAGTCGGTTTCGATGGAAATGTAATTTTCATCTGCACGACGCACTTAAATGTGCGCCATTTTCATTTTGCACGACGATGAGTCTGTTAGTTTAGATACAAAAATGGCGTCGGCTTATCCAAAAAAGGGACGAGATTTCAATGCCCAAAGGGAATATTCTAACGTTAAGAGGCAAAACACAGGTGTTGAGGTTTCCATTTAAGTTTCAATACAAAAAAGTTTGACAAACATTTGAATGTGTGAAGCTATGCAAATTTGGAAAGTTTCTGGAATTACAAGCATGTTTGGAAGCAACATATGACGAGATTCATGTACTACCATTTTAACATACAGACGCATTGTGGACGATGGAGTGAAAGAAAATGGCTTCAGTATTATTACAGAGAATAGGACATATCACGTGATTGCAGAGAGCACCAATGACTGGAAGTAAGTATGGGTTGATTTGAACTTAAGTTTGAGCTCGTTTCTCTGTTGACTTCTTGTATAGCCATAGTGTTTTAAAAAGCTTAATATCAAATTGTGTAATATAACTGTGTTATCAGTCGATTATTATCATCATCCAGAGTTATTTGCATTTTTTTTTCTTTAATCAAAAACGATATGTAAACTTACACGTTCATAATTATAAGGCGATGAGACCTCAAGAAACCGTCGGGCTTATGGTAGAGGCCACCTTACTCAAAAAAATAATTTTTTTTTAAAAAAAGAAGTTTTGCGAATGTATGGCCTGGCCAATTCAGGGACTATTTCAGAAAACTTTCGCATTTTTGTTGTAAAGCTACAGAAAGCTACAGAAAGACAACCAAAAAAAAACCATGCTCAATGTTAGCATTTGTACTAACTGTACTTTTATTTGGTGTATTTTTTTTTTGCAGCCAGTGGTTCAACGTTTTAAATCGTGTACATAGGGCTACCGAAGAAGAATTGAAAGGAATGAGAGAAGAGTCAGCTAATGTCAAACATGCAGTGGTAAGGCTTTTCATTTCCTGTGCTTTCTTCGTGCGTATTTCTATTTCCACAGTGTAAAAGTATCTTATGGTTATTTGGTGTTATTTGTTACATACTATTGCTGTCTTCTAATTTGTTATTCTTTCACTAATAATCGTTGATAAATTCAGTCAGAAATGCATTTACGACACACTTAAACCTTTATTTTCTCTGGCTAAGGGTTATTTAACCTGTTGCAGGTGTGTGGTAAGTACAACTAGGCACGATAATAAACGACAAGATAGTATCGGAGGATATTCAACCGAGAGAGACTGATTCGGGTCGTGTAACTCTATCCAAACGTCTTCCGCATTTTCCCTCCGCCGCCTCTATCGCGCTGTTTACTATTTAGCTCTCTTTTATTAACTGAATGCCTGGAATAGGCTAATCATTGTTTAAAAAAATTTATTTAAAGAAATAATAATTGTCTGTACATATAGGCGCTGTTGGCTGAAGATAAAACGTAAATCGTCTTAATGACTGTGGATATATGAAATTATATATGTGAACCGCGGATAAAGACGTCAGTATGAAAGCGATCTTCGCTGTAATGAACGCTACTCGAACCGTAGTGAAAACAAGGCCTGAAAAAAATTCAGGTCTGTGCAGGATTTGAACCCATGACCTCTGCAATACCGGTGCAGTGCTCTACCAACTGAGCTAACAAGCCAACTTGATGATGGTCATTATGTTGGTTCTATATTAACTCGTGAAGTGGTGAATTAATTCATCACTTCACGGGTTCATTTTAATTTTTTTTCAGGCCTTGTTTTCATTACTGCTCGAGTAGTGTTCATTACTGCGAAGATTACTTTCTTAATCACGTAAATCGTATTCTTGTTCAAAATCTTTGTCCAAAGTTTGATGGAAAGTCTTGACAGACTGGGTTAGAAGCCTTGATTTCATTTCTTATTTCCAGGGCACTATTGATATAGCCATGATAGAGTCCTGTACACCTGGTGGAGTCGCCAACAAGTAAGTCCACAAGTTATAGTACAGGATAATTTGCTCTAAAGCTATGTTACATGTATCTTGACTCTTTGGTGCACCTGTTCAAAATGCTATGGCCAACAGTTCAAAGGTTATCATGTTCCCCTCTCCCCTCCCCTCCCCTCCACTTTTTTACTACAATTAAGAGTCGTATTAGTACTTATCAGTACTATGAAACAAAGCTGATAAAAATTGCTATGGTAATTGATTCTAGCACTAGTGTGAGAACACTATGGTTGCTTATTCTTACGGTCCTTGGAATTATTTTCCCAAGGAAAAAGTTTACATTTTGCTCGTCAATTGAAGCCTTGTTCCGGTAAGGACTTCGCTCCATTAACTGACACTGCCTTTTTGTCTGGAATGTTCGCCTTCGTGGTCTTCAAATGTGTTCGTTTGTCAATTCATGACCGAATCCGTTTTGTTTCAGAGCCAATTCGTTCACTCTCATCACCGCGAATCGTGTAATGAACTTTATCACAGATTCTCCCGAGGAGGTCAATGGATGGGTGGAAGGTATGTGGCTGCAATCACACAAATAATAATAAGAAGTAACATTATAATAAGTGACAATGCTCCTGTCGTGGAGATCATGAGCGAGTCACAAGCGAATTAGCAGTAAAAAGACAATTGGAAGAAAAATGTCTTGAATGATGTCCATGATAAAAGATGTGGGTAAAGGCCAATAATCTTGAGCTTATCTGCCAAGCCAGTCCATAGGATGGTTACAGCAACTGAGAAAGCTTTAACGCCATAGGTGGTATTTCTCATGAGTTTAACCCTTTACACCCTAACATCAGTAATCATATTCTCCATACTGTTCTTTGTACATTTACTAAGGTGCTGACAAGGAGAATTTGTCTTACAATCAAGAGTTTCTTTAGTTGGTGATCATTTCTTTTATTTTCATGACATCAGTGTGTGACTCAGTGGTGATATTGTAAGGAGAAATTAGATGCTAGTCACGCTTAGGGGTGAAAGTGTTAATTAATAGTTTTTTTCCTTTGTTTTGCTTGTACGATACTTTTCGGAAAACGTTCTAGTGTTCTTCCTTATTGAAGTAATTTTCAGCAACTTGTAAATGGTCGTAGCTCAACTTGCTTACCCATTTCGTGTGACTCATTTTATCATAGCTATACAACAGTGTAAGGAGCACGAAATCGACGAAGGTGTGGCTGATACGATTGAGAGAGGCTGGCTCATTAAAGAGGGCGCTAATGACGATTCGAGACGAAAGAGGTTGGTGGATAAACTGTGAATTTAATGTCTTGCCTCTAACAAGGAGATTGACTAGGACACCTGTTAAGGGCTAGATTTCCTGGCGCAGAGACCTTGATAAGGAAACTTGTCAGAAAAATGTTGTAAATGGTTTAACAGTGTTGTCCTTTATTTTAAGCACGACAGGTAAAATAAATCTTCAAACTGGTAGAGCAATCCTTTTACCTGTTAAATTTTCAATACCGAGCGATTTTAGGCGGCAATAAGAGGTACTGTTGGCGGTGAATATTACCGGTTACCAGTTGAAAAGATGAAGACTGGTCAAAGGTTTATTCTACTTTCAAAAGTTTGCTCTGGCTAGTATTTTCTGCGACAAGTTTCCTCGCTGTAATCTGTTGCAATAAATTTTCGTTTGGTAAGTGCTGTAGTCAATGGAAACTTGATGGTGTAAATACCACCTCACTGAAATTGGCGTGTGTGTTTTTCAGGTGGTGCGTTCTGACAGGAAATTCACTTGATTACTACAAATCATATGTGAAAAACAGCCCCAAGTTTGGATCTATTGTCTTGAACAGTCTTTGCTCTGTTGTATCGCCAGAGGAACGTGAACCAGGTGAGATACCCATGGGTATATTAAGAAATGGATGAACTAGCAAAAATTAAAAAAGAAATGGCAAAATCTACTTTACGTGTTATATTTTTGATGTATTCGACTTAATAACCAATTTTGTCCTCTGATGGCGGCTTGAATTGAGTTGCCTGCGTAGCTGGCGGCTTTGTGTAGGCTTTGAAGAGCTGAGAGGATTGGAACAAAAAAAAAGAGGTCTTTTGATGGGTTTTTCGACTCTGACGTTTCTGTCCCTCTCCTCCCCTCCTCAAAAAAAATCGGCCAATCAGGCTAGATATTCAGCTGGTTGTAAAGAATTGCGTTGACAGCAATCATCAAATAGCCAACATTTCAAACTACTTAAACTGCCATGAATGACTGCAGCAAGTGCGTGCTTTTCTTTTCTAAAAACATTCAAGAAATTATAGATCTAACAGATTGATGAGGTAATGTGTGAAACCCTTTTTTCCGGTATCAGGTGACTGGACATTTATCGTAAATGGCAGAAAGCGATCGTACGTTCTCCATGCAAAACTTCAGGAAGAGGCAATCCGTTGGGCGAGTGAAATTCAAGAGGTAATTTAGAAAATTCTCCAATTGATCTTCCGTAACTCTAAATGTTTGATTCACAATTATATTTTAGTTAGTGGCGGTTGATATCTGTTTTCGTGGATCTTACCGTCACGACCCCCCCCCCCCCTTTTTTTGAGGCTGTCCTAAAAGACTAATCCATATATATGTATTGAACACTGGTTTCGAGTGTTAGTTAGGCTAGAGAAACGAAGTAGCCTCTCTGTCACTGTTTGGATTTTCGTGCGATTGTGATAAATTGGACAAACTCCAACCTACTACTATTTTATCATCATCCGATGGCGACTCTTGGAAGCTGGTTACTCGCGAGTTCGCGCCCAAGGGGTTATTATAAATAGGTTTTCCATTTTTCTCCGTCCTCTATAATCTCCTTACACATTGTGGAAACATACCCAACTACACACCTGGCCCCGGTTGTTCGAAGATTGGACATCGCTATCCACTGGATAAATCTCTATCCGGTGGATAACGCTATACGTTTTGCTATTACTTATCCGCTGGATAGCGATTTATCCGTTGGATAGTGTTATCCGCCCTTTATACAACTGGGCCCTGATGTCATTTGTCCAGTTCCCGCACGGTCTTCCACTCTCTAATCTCCCTTCAAACTTTCATCCTGATACCTTTACTAATTACAGATACCGGGTTGAAACTCTGTGACAATATTTGCACCAGTTTTGCATAACGTTTGATGTTTCTGGATATGTTAATTGATCGTCATCATTTGTGTCATTGTATTTATCACCATTATCATTATTATTGTTGCTAATGGACTTCTTTTTCATGTATACCTGTTCTTATTAAAAAAAATTTAGGTAATAGATTCTAAACCACCAGTTGAAACAGCTTTCGAGAAGTTGGTATCAGAGTTAAAGGTAACTGTTTGATATTAACAATCAAATTATATTTATTTTGAATCGATCAATTTATAGGAGTAGGGAATATTCAATTGGATTTTTCGTGACCCTATTCGACTTTTAGTACTTTTCTGGGGTATAGGTCATCAGTGATAGATGCTCAGGTACTTTACACACTGGACGACTAGTCGTAACGGCCATTCACCTCTTAGAGAAAGTTTGAGAAAAACCTTGAGCCCAAGACAGAGTTTATCAATTTTATGAATGCCATTGATTCATTCTGTTTGAATTCGTGCAATTTAATACCGAGTCAAAGATTATCGCAAAAATTATCTCGGTTACACGAGGCGAATCAGCGCTCTAGCTTCTCCGCGCCCTTACATGTTTCGTTCGTACGGTTTTGTTTCAACTTTGTCTCTTGAAACTTGTTGCTATATTCCATTTAACCCAAGTTTCGTTTTTCCTTTTTCTGCGTAAACAGAGCACAATGACTGAGAGTGAAGCCGACCAAGTGTACCGCACTAACCCGGTGCTGAAGTATTCCAAGATACCACTCAAGGCTCCTTTGCTACCCCTCCCCTATGGACAATCACAGTCCTCACGTGAGTGAATGCTTTATCTGCTTCACAAGGAGTCATTTCGTAACACCTTCGTATTATTTTAATGATACTGAATGCAAGCTTTTATGATATTACGTTGATGCTGAATGTAAACTTCTATAATGTTTGAAATGGTCCAATAAGTATACAGCTACGAAGCACTTCACTTTTAGCGAGCGCGGTGAACTATCCAAACGGTGACAGGCGAGAGTAAAAAGTGAGTGATCGCCTCTGCCACGTTCTAGAAACGTGACAGAAGCTCTTAATCGCGTCTAATTTTTTTTTTAACGAATTAAGTGATTGCTTAGAAGACCAACACCAGGTTTTGACTGTGGGTTCACCTATAGACCAGTCCCTTAGCATACAAAATTCAAATTAGTTACAGACTTTGAGCGGACGTTTTTCTGCAATGTACTCTACATACTTTTGAGGAGAGTGGATAACATGAGCATCGGCTGGAAACTATTGTTTAAATTTTTTCCACTCACAGGAGCAAAGGGTAAAGGTTATGGCACCTTCCATGAAGAGGCTGTTGGAGTTTTTAGTTCACTGCTGGAACAAGAATCCATTGCAGATCCTATCCCAGTTATTCAAGTACGATTTCTAGCAACTTTGAATTAAATTTTTCTTATCAAATTGTGGTCTTAACCTGCTTTGGTCGTCACATTTGGTATCGATACTGGAGCATGATCAGGGTACTAATGTAGAAAACGACGATGGTAACACAAAAATTAGTGAATGTTATGATGATTAGTTTTGCGGCGAAAAGAAGCCGCTTGAAGACACGGAAGTGATCTACGCTGGAACCAGAGTCACTTAAGCCATAATCTCTGCATATTTTCTCTCTGTGTTTCAAGAAATTTGTATCTCACTGAGTGTTGGTTCTGAAGCTTGTCTCTATGTCATTTTGAAATACTATGTTAAGAAAATATTGTTAACGTCTTATTTCAACCAGTAACCTTGTTTGTTTGTGTTTTTGTCATTTCTAGGGAATCCTACAAACTTGCCAAGACTTGAAACCTCTAAGAGATGAGGTTAGTCTTTGATTCAGTGTCAATCTTGTGAATTTGATATTTCACATCGGTTTTAATTTTTTGAACCTCTCATAAAACGTGGTTTTCCTTGTCGTTAGGTGTTCTGCCAGCTGATCAAACAGACTACAAATCACCCTACTCCTGACTCCATTGGAAACCTCAGAAACATGCAGGTACAGTATTGGACGACTAGCTCTAAACTCAACAAAATTTCTTTTCGTGCAAGACGCTCGGCACTCTCGATTCGTGCAGGATGAGGGCGTTTGTCGCCTATGAAGGTACAATGTTGGTACAATACTGGACGACTAGCTCTAAATTCAACAAAATTTAGTTTCGTACAAGACGTTCGGCATTCTCGATTTGTGCAGGATGAAGGCGTTTGTCGCGTATGAACCAAGTTCTCTCTCTTTATCAGTGGCAAACTGCATGCGACCGCAAAATGGAAAAGGTTCGAGGTTTGAATGGTCTTAAGGGATTTAGATTGTTTCTTTTTCGCTCGCTCGCGACAAACTTAGCCGCGTTTGACTTCTTCCTTAAAGTAGGTCTTGTCATGAATGAGAGCATCCAAAAATAAAATCAGAACGAGATAAGGTTTGAATCGCTACAATAGACTCAGATATTTTTTTTCCACCCTTTCCTCTCCTTAATGTCCAACGCTCATAACATTATTCTTCTAAGGGTTTTTTTTAGTAGAGTTATTGTAAAGTGTGTGATGAGCTTTTGAACTTGTCTTTTGCAGGTGTTGGTTTGTATGTGCTGCACATTCGTCCCAACCAGAAAGTACCTTCGATACTTGAGATTTCACTTGAAAAGGTAAGTTTACAAAGGGTATTATCGTTCTCTGGCCAAGTGGAGTCAACCAAACCTTTCCCAACCAAACAGGATCAATCGTGATTTAATTTATGGCATTCCTTTGAAGAAAATAAGTTATGGGCAAAAAAAGAAAAAATCAATTGAAAGAGTATAAAGAAGGGCAATTAAATTCTGGCACTCAATAGTTTTCATCTTATGATAGCAACAATCTTAATTCCCATATCGTGGAAAATTCTTCAGAATATGGTAGCAATTATAATTATTCCAAATTTCCACTCGTCTTTTTTGATACATTTTTCCCTCGTCCTTGTCAACACTTTCATAGGATAAATTTTAATTACGGGTTCGTTTCCCAGATTGAAAAGAATATACTTATTACTTCTGAAAAAGATGACTGTACTTGCCTCTTTTCTCTCCAGAAATAGAGATAAACATCCCGATACAGAAATGGCCAAGTTTGCAGTGTTTGCCTTAGAATGTATCAAGAGAACCAGACCAAGGTATGAGTCGCAATTCCATTAGGCTTTCGTTTCTGTTCTTTAGTTCCTTTAGTGAGATTTGATCTACAATCTGTTGAATTTGCAGTTTGATTTGCTTTCACAAAGCTATTTTGATTTGTATGTTTGCCACTTTTTGCACCAAAATACAGAATTTCATTTTGTAATTTTTTTCTTCTGTTTCTTTTTATATGTGAATTACAGGGAATTTCCTCCTTCAAGAGAAGAAATCATTTCTCTTCTGGTAAGTCTCGCCACATTTTCTTACATCATATTTGGTTTTATTTGAATAAAATAAAATCTTGCGATGGTTTCTCGCTTGAGTAAATAAACACCCAAAAGGTAATAATAACGCAAAAAATGAAGAGGGTTTAAGGGTGGCGAAGATGAAAACGGACTACAAATGGCAAATGGCAAATGAAGATTACTTGCAAATGACAAAACCATCAGTGAAATTGTTGTAAATTGTTAATGCTGATAATCCAATTTTTTAATCATACTGCTCTTCAGGGCCGTCGAGAGCTCTCGGCTGTTGTTCACTGCTATGGCGGAGGATCATGTAAGATTACAATCAACTCTGCCACTACAGCAGGAGAGGTAATGAAAAATTATAATAACTAGAGAGCCCAGTAGGATATTATTGATTTAATATTTATCTTAGTTAGTACGTGCGCCATGATTGGTCAATTGAGCGGACCGTATTTGGGAGATAGAGATACCGCGGTGGTATCTATGCTGAAGTCTTTCTTCATTTTGTCTGAATACGCATCGATAACCCTCTCATAGGTGGTTAACATGTTAACTTATCACTATAACGAATTTATATATTATCCAGCAAACAGGTACTGAGAGTATTCAACTTATCAGGTAGAAGTTGTTATATTGATCTGAAACCAAATTCTCGTCACCAATTTACAAGGAAATGTTTTACAGCCAGAGGGGAGAATTAACAATCAGATCTTGTGAGTTAATAGGTCAAATAGATCATGAATGTTTCGGTGCTTTTCTTGTTCTCACAGGTTGTCGAGAAGTTGTGCAAGGGCTTGAATATCCCACAGAGGTGTAACATTTTCACTCTGTTCGAGCAGTGCGGCACGATAGAGAAGAATATCGAAGACAGAACTGTGCTTGCAGACGTCTTGTCCAAGTTTGAAAAGTAATTTTGATATAATCTCACGTAGTGCAGAAGAAGAATGCAGAGTAGGCGTAACTTTGGTTATTTCTAAATTGAGATTTTATGAAAGTTTCATTTGCGTGGGAATGACATATCATTTTTTATATCAAATACAGTGTGTCAACCTCCGTTTGGAGGGGTTGAGCATCTCGGAGGTGGCCTATTACAAATAAAACGTGAGCTGTTGCCACAAAATTGATAGTCTTTTCAACCAAACAAAGAAGTCTAGAGAGTGAGCCTCAAAGATAGTTGTGGTGAACGCCTCTTTTGATCCCATGTTCTTCAAAGGCGTTGTAAAATTTCATTTCATCAGTAGAAAAACACGTCATTGAAGATAAGATCATCATTGTAATATGCACAACATGTACAAATAAAGGCCGAAAAAAATTAGAAATCCAACGGGATTCGAACTCACTACCAAGAAACAGTTGATGCAGTGACGAAGTTCTTACTGCATGGACTGTAATTTTTGACCTGAAAGAGTTTACAATGGAATCTGACTTGATTTCTGTGTTTCAGGTACAAGGCGTTAGGTCTGACCGAAGCAGGCTATTCATGGAAGCTTTTCTTTAAGATTTTTTGCTACCTTCAACCCGAACTGGTGGAAGTGGACACTATTGAATATGGATTTCTTTATGAACAGGTTTGTTCGATCAAAACACTTTGAGAGTTTTTAAAAAGACTTCAGCGTAATCAACTGGTTTGGTCAGTATTATCAAAACTTTTGAAAAGTTGTCAACAAACTAGCAGATGATAAGTTTTGCTGTTTTGTAACTTTACATTCAGACAACGGGCTACCAATCTAAAATGTAACGTCTCATTTTTACCTTTAGGCTTGTGACTCGATCATACTTGGTAAATACCCTGCTCCGGATACCACTTTGTACCTTCTCGCTGCCTTACGGCTTCAGTTCAATGAAGGAGACTATAACACTGGTGCTTGGGTGTAAGTAACACTCATCTTTGAAGGAGGAAAAATTGAATTTAAAAAAAATTTGGCTAATTTTCTGCTTTGGAAAGTCTTGTTTTTGTTTTTCTCTATGTGTATGAATTTGTTTGTTTGTTTGTTGTCTGGAAAGTCACGTTTTTGGTTTTATTTTTGTTGGTTTGCTGATGTTTATATTCGGATACAATAACTTTCCTTTCACGTTCTCTACTTCTTTTTCTTATTAATAAATTTATTTATTTGTTTACTTGCTTGTGGTATCTAGTTTACTTGCTCTCTATTTTTGTTATGTTCACTAAATCTTTCTGTTCATGTTGTCTGTACTTGTGATCTGAAGAACTCAAGTTGTTTCTTGCAGCTGCCGTTATTGATGTTGTCATTAAACCTTTTTGTTTGGCTTTAGATCTGATCTGAACTCGGTTTATCCTCCTGGGAAACTGAAACAGAAAGTAAAGACGGAAAACAGTGGTATCACAAGAGAAAGACACTTCAGCATCAAGGTAAAGATGGAGAATTGATTTCTTGTAATAATTTCTTAAAAAATGGCAAATAGGCAAGTGATGTTAGTAAAGCAATTTTAAATTGTAATCCCAAAATCGTAAAGGAAATTTTTTCTTTTTATGTCCATGAGATTCTCCGAAAACAGAAAGGCGACGTTTGCCGTAGAAGGGGTTTTAAGTGCACAAAGAATAACTGCGTCGATCGCTTCTTGGTTTTTTCTTGAAGAAACGCAATTTTCATAACTGTATACAACTGTACGTTGAATACGGAACGATCAGATACTTTGTTAGTTAAGTAAACTTTGGACTGTTATGTAAGTTGTAGAATCATTCCTTTGTCTTTTAGAATGATGATAAGGTCAAATTTTGACCATCCCTCCTTTCACTCTCAATAACCTGCTTTCTTTGTAATTCTTCATAACAGGGAACAATAAGGAAAGCCGTCTCTCCTTTCCGATCAGGTAAGTTGAGCCCACAATTTTCAGCTGTTATGTTGCTAAGTAACAATGGCATATACATATAGCGATGAACGCTTCTGATGCAGCCTCATTCAATTTGACGGCTCTCTTGCGTCTGTAATAGTTTAATCTTATGTCAGTGTAGCGGCAAGTTCTTTTATTTTCTTCCTTCATACTCTTTGTAGCTGGTGGACCAGAAAATGGCGAGGAAGATAGCAAGAAAGCCACTGAGGAAGAGCTTTCGTTTATAAAGAGTTCTATATGTGAGCAGTGGAAAAAACTTGCTGTAAGTATTCGAAGACATCGATGAAATCTTCTGCAAACTTGCAAACTCCTGTTTAAATCAAACGCAAATGAAGAGATTATTGAACTATCTTACTTCATCAGGGCATGGATCAAGAACAAGCTCAGAAACAGTACATGGAAATACTAAGAAGTTGGCCTGGTTATGGTTCCACCCTGTTTGACGTGGAGGTAAGTAACCAAATAGTTCTCTTTGCTTGAGGCCAACGATTACACGAGATGTTGAAAATAAACGGCTAGAAAAAGCTTTTTCTCTACAAAAATGAAAACAAAATAGTTGCCTAAAAGTTAGATAGTGTTGGGCCGAATATAAGAAAATGTTGGTTTGTTTGATTGTTTGCGTCTTTGTCTGTGTTTGCAGGAACAAAGTGGAAATTCTCGAGCGGTTATCCAGTCACCGCGTGTTGTGCTTACCGTTGAAATTACTTTCACGAAGTGTTCATGTTTTCCTTTAAGACCCCTATACCGGTCCAGTCTCCTGGATCATAAATTTTTACTGACGGAACAGCAGTAATACTGACATCGATGTTCTTGTATTGCAGACGAAAGACCCAGGCTTTCCTCCCGAACTCTGGCTGGGTGTGAGTTTCAAGGGCGTGGGTTTCTACAAGCGAGGAGACGTCAGACCACAGTGTCAATTCAGTTATGAAAAGTAAGTTTCATTTGGCACTCACGACGAATCTCAAACCATTTCGCCTCGTTTTCAAACAAGTTCAGACATTAACAGAATGAGCACTAAGGCGACAATGATCGAAATAAAGTAAGATTCCGTCAAGTTAGCTGCCGTGGACTGGTGTGTCGCCCGAATTAAACAGCATCAGCACTCTAGAAGTGTCACTGTTAAGGCGACATTTTGATATGTTGGATGAGATTTTAAGACCAGCGGGTACCTACACAGGCGTCAGCGGTAGTAACACCAAGTATAGACTGCCATGCAGATGAAGACTAATAAAGCTGTTTGCTTTCCATGGCTGCTAACTTTATGGCTTTCCTTTCTTTTAGTTTTGTATGTTTTTTGTCGCTCTCTTCAATTCTGACCTTAATGAATATTATTCGGCCTGTGCATATCATTGTTACATTTCGGTTTTTCCCTACTCTTCTTTCATGCTGCAAGCGTCTCCTATGTGCTTTATAACAGGACATAACTGCTAATGATCATTCAGTCGATAATCTGATTGGATACCTAACTTTTAATTTACTGATCCCCTCTTTTTTTTCGTTCACAGTATTTTATCATTTGGAGCTCCGGCTGCCAACAAGTATAAGATCATCGTTGACGGGAGAGAACCCATGTTGTTTGAAACATCTCAGGTATTATGCCGTTTATTTACTATTGACTTAGATAAAGGACTCGTGTCACGATATTTTCAGCCATCTTTTGTGGCCTGCACAGCGTACGTCAAACTTTTCCTTTACGGTTATCCTGGCAACAGAGGAAAGCAGCTGTCGTAGGGAGTTGGTTGGTATTGGTAGGCAGTGGAGTCAAACGATACAGTGAATCCATCAATTAGTGGAAAGTTCACGTTTAGTTGTACAGACAGTTGATCTCCTTTTAGGTAAATGAGAGCAGTCCAAGATTGTCCTCTTGAGCAAGGTGTTACGAATTTTACATTACCGTTTTGCGGTCATGCCTTTGTGAAGATGTTGTTGTTGTTGTTTTTCATTTGGGATGCGCTTTAGCAGCATTTGCCTTTTAAGATGGCTGTCGACTAGCGGTTAAAATGAAAGTGGCTTGACCAACCTTCCGCAGGGAAGAAAATCGTCAATGGGGGGAGGTGGTAGTTGAAGAGAGGTTGCCGTTGTAATGAGATAGCCGCTTGTGGAGGATTGACTATAATTTTGAAGTTAATGGAAACTATAAAACGCTAGTCTGTTAATGAAAAGAAAAGAGCAGCTTTAATGAACCAAGAAAGAACCATGATGACCAAGGACAACGAAGATTAGAGGGGACTGGAAATGTAGAACAAAAGAAAATTATTCTTAATTTTGCGCAATCTAAGACCTAGGTCTTGTAATTAATATTAAATTATTTAATAATTTAATGTTAATAATGACCATAATTCCGTTATACCCACAGGTTATCGAGATTGCCAAACTGATGAAAGCATACATTAATCAAATTGTCAAACTACGCAGATCAAGCTACTTCAGTCAAGCGTCAGAAGCCTCGGACTCCTAGTTTTGAAAACTGATGCGAGTGTGAAAAGCTGTTACCATACGGTTTTTTCCTTTTTTTCTTTCTTTTTCTTCAAAAATATCATCAGCTCTTAAGTCTCACCAAATGGCTCAATTTTGAATATATTGGCGGGGGAAGTTGTATAGAGTGCAACAGGTTCTTTGGGTGTAAGGGTTAGAAACAAGTTATAGTCCAAGTAAATGCTCCATAAACCAGCTGCAGTATGATTGCAGCATCAAAGCCGGAAACTCTTCATCTCTCTTTCATTATTTTTCCTGTAGTAATTTTCGTCAGTTCAGGTCGTTGCTAGAGCAGTAGAACATTGTACAAGACATTATCCAATTCAACCCAATTTACTTGATGTAAAATCCCTTTACTTCCCCTTCATGGTTTAGTAATACACACACCTATTGCTACTGCTTCCCAAGTATCAGAAGTGATCAATCAGTTTTCTTATTTGGCTTATAACTTAATCCGTTGCTAAGCAAACAATTTAACATATCAATGGTTTTTTAAAGTAAGATAATTAAAGAGCTTACATATATAAATGCTCAGATCTTTTAGTACAGTAATTTAAAATAGCAATCCTTGAGAATTGATATTTTAGAGTCCTAACTGAAATCTTGCTAAGGAATGTGGGGACGAAAGTAAATAAATTTGTCTGAAAATAAAGTGTAAGCACTTGGAGTATTTTCCAAGTTAATACTCAAATTTTATATGGACTCATATAAAAGAAAAAAATATTTTTGTCAGGGGGAAAATATCTAATTTGTCCATCATGGGATACATAGCTCATTTGAGCATTTAATTGTAATTGAATATGTGTGAAGTAAGTTTATTACAATGTAAGTGAAGCTAACAATGTGCCTCATGTATAATTTTATACACTAGTCATAATAGATATTATGTTTTGATAACAAAATTGAGTATAATCCACATTCTTTGCTATGTGAATGTGAAAATTGCATGATGAAAGAGTAATATTCCTTTGAATTTCATCAGTGTCAAAAAATTGTCGTAATGCCATGTGTAATCAAGAAAACAACTGTTGTCAAGTCTGCATGCCTTTTCCATTAGCCAAACTGATTTAAGTAACATTCGCGCATGAAGTCCTCAATCACTTGCATGGCAATCATCCAATCTTATCCCAGAGGGTGCAATTGTTTTGACAAAAACAAGAAAATTGTGAAGTCTGGGGAATGAAAGATTGCAGATGAGCATCACAATGACAACAGTAAAGTTTTCCTTCAATGGGAAGTTTGCTTTATAATAAGGAATGAAGAATTCATGGTGAGCCACTTTCATAGATGCTGTAGTTCCTAATTTATAAAGAAAGGGAGGCAGTAGTGATATTAGATAAACTAGATAGCATGTTAATTTCCATAACAGTTGTTAAAATTGCAATTGATGCACTTTTTTTTATCTTACTATTTAATTCAAATTGCTTTGTGAACAGTTTTATAAAGGAATAAATGTGACAAGAAACTTTACTGGATGGTTTTCCATTGTAAGTGTGCAATCCCTGTTACAATTCTCCTCATTGAAACTATGACAAGTGCTGTGACTAATCTGAAAATTGAGCTACCAGAAAACGAAAGGCATGATTTTCTTTTTCTGAAAATTTGAATAGAAAATGTCAGGGAAAATCTTGTAAAGAATGTCATACACACTGATACTTTCACCCCTCAGGATTTTGCATGCCCTGAAAGCTGATATTATTATAATGAGATTGTTATTACTTGGTTGGGTGTTGTGGTGCACTTTAAGGGAGACTTTGAAGGGCTGAAATGAAAAGGGACAAGCAAACAATTGTACAATGAAAGCAGCAAACAGTAAATACAATTGACTAAAGTACAAATGAACTTTGAATAAGCTCTGAATTCCCTTTCATGTCTTTCACAGTTATTGTATACTTAGATAGCAAGATTTTGTAATTTCTAGCCAGCTTTGCCCGATGGCATATTTTTCAATTGAAAATAAAGACTATTCAACCTGAAACTTGTTTTTTTATGTGTCATCTTCAGCTTTTGTTTTCTTAATGCCCTCCATAATGATAATGGTACTTAAACAATTAATTTACCTGGCCTTAAATATGCTTAGCCTAATATGACTCTTTGTAGGGCCTGAAGCATTTTTATGCTTGCCCAGGCCACTACTGCCCTGCCCCATCCCACCCCCCCCCCTCCCTCCAAAAAAACACAAAGCAAAATCTCCTCTCTCTTTTTCTTTTGCCAAACAGTTGAGGGAAAGTATTTTGTTCTCAGCAAGCCCTTTTCAGGTTTTTAGTCCATTTTTGCCCGAGTAGTGAACTGCTGGTCACCTGAAATGGGTCTGAGACAAAATCTGTACAAAGATTTATCAGCTTCCTTTATCTAATGGTGGTCTGAATTGCAGGAACTTTGAATTTTTAAGAAAAATAGGAGCCAGCCTATACTTGTTTGGGAACAGCACCATCTTTGACAAAGGGGGAGGGTGTACCTATAGATAGGTGGGGGTGTTCTGTCAAAAACCTTACAGCCACTATCTTTTTTAAGAGAAAATCTATTTATGCTATCCTGTTAAAAAAAAACATATTGTTGTAAATAGATTTCAACCTTCAACTTACAACTACACCAACAAGCCTGAATAAAAAAAATCTGTTCAGGATAAATTGCCAAATTCTGTGTCCTATTTAAGAACTTCGATCATATCCTGTTTGTTTCCATTGGCAATATTATGTATTTAGCATCTTGCCTAACTTCATGTTGGTAAATGTTGGGGGACTGTTTTCTCCTCTTGCCAAAAGGGAAATGTTATCATCTTCATAATGTGTGGGAACTACCACCACTGGTAATCATGCAATGGTATACTGTAATACACAGTTGGAATGACCTCAATATGTACACAAATTCCTATTTTTCCCCGGTCAAATCAATGAGTCAAGTATTGTCAAACAATTCAAATATAAGAATACCCATACAAATACACACCGACGCAATGTTATGTTTAGAATAATGCACTTTATTTTGGAATAAAAATAAAATCCCTTATAGTGACATTAGAGTACATTGAGATTATATAGATGTCCACTGTCACAGTTCTCTCCACTTGACAATATACTACTTGTATTAGGATATGTCAACAAGATCAAAGGGAACTACCTCGGATGAGGCTGAGTGGGAAAGGGGTAAATAATCCCATGCTGATATCCTCCATGCTGTCACTCACTGCTACTTATGTCTGAAAAGCTAGAGTATCTTTGATGCCAGTACAGCTATGTAAAAATTACTGAGGAAAATAAATTTTGCAATATTACTATTAAAGAAATATAATTTTTCTGTTGCCTGTCTAATGATTTCTGTGGGAAATTGCTCAGTAAAATGCCAGATTCTAAATTTAACTGTCTTGATCCATATCATTAATCTTGATATCCCTCTAAAAGGATTTTCTATGCTCTGATATCTTAAATGTTCAACCATCAGTCATGAAAGAAATGACAAAATCTACATTTGAATGCCACCATGACTTCATCACCTCAAAAGCTCACTGTCTTCAAATTTGAGATCTACATGTATGTCTTTTTTAAATGTTTCTTGCAAAAATATGTACTCATTTTGAATCTAAGAGGCTCAAGTCTCAGAAATTCACTACTCATTACAGATGTGACAAAGGGATTAAATTTGACTACACTATGACCTACGGCTTCCTTGTTCTGCCACATTAATAAAATTCATGAGAGAATTATTGACCTAACACATCAATTATGTTCATTTTACTGTCCTTGCTATACCACATTGTTTTAAAACATTAACTACATTAAAAACTTAGAACTTTTTTCCTTCATGTATAAGTATATCTACAAAGAGATTTAAAATACATTCTTACAGTAATTCAGTGCTATGCCATGTATTTTTAATATCAGTATGTGTATGTAATTGGTAATGGTAATAAAACTGAGTGGAGTCCCATTCAGTCTGTAATCAAAGGAGTCTTTGGAAATATTGGACAACCCTAGATGCATGTGTCCAATTTGTTTACTCCATGTATAATTAAAGACAGAATTGGATGACAGAGGTCCTGTTACCAATTAACAAAAACTATCAAAACATTAGAGAACCAACCAACCATCCATTTTCGTTTTCATAAAAAAGGAAAAAAAAACAAAAATACGAAAAAAGACACCACTTAACAGGCTGAAATGTGTGCAAATGATGCGCAATGTCACACAGGATGATACCTACTGTCCATTTATACTGGATGATGCATACACTGTCCAATTACAAGCATGATACCTACACTGTCCTATTAGAGCTCAAATATTGGGCTGGTGATAACCAGTCAAGTTCAAAAATTTTATTACAGTTTTGATCACAATTGTTATCATAAAAATTTGTGAGCAAATGAAGAAACAACTAGAAAGTGAAATACATTCTGAATGAAACGATGACGCCATACAACGCAAAACTGAAAATGATGCATGATTTATATTTAGAACAGTTTTTTTACAAGTACTTCCTTGTTAAAACAAAAAACTATACATGTTGGTCTCAATGAGCAGCAAGTTAATTCTCCTTTGAATTCTCCGTACAATTTTTAGCGAGCATATTAAGAGAAAATTCCCTACAAAGACAGGTAAAGTTTAAACAAAGCTCAAGATTGTATCCAGATCGTTTCATTAGTTGCTCACCCCCAAACAAGACTCGACATCTTTGCCCTCTTTGTTTTCCTTGATTTCAGGAGACATATCATTTAGCCAAGGTCTTTCCCAAATACTGATGCAAATAAACTTCCCCTCTCCCTGCTCGACAAAGTCGCCTCTGTTGATGCAAGACTCTCCTTGTGCCACTCCTTTATCCACTTGTTCAGTATTGAACGCAACACGATACAGAACGCCCTGAACAACTTGTGATGAAGCTTGGACGCTTGCACATACTAGCTTGTGGACAGTTCCAGCAGTTGACTTTGCGTTCAGCTTATCCAGGAATGATTTCACTCCTTTTACCAAATCAGGATACTGACGAAGATCCTCTGGGTCAATTCTGGATATTCCACCGGTTATCGGGGACTTCTTTGCAGAGCAATGCAAGAAGGATACGTATAAAATGATAACGAACACAGCTTTTCCAACCTCCATTTCAAACTTTTGCTTTGACATGATCATTTTCCGATGCGATTTGACTTCTGGGAACGGAGTCTTCAGTTCATTTGACCAGCAGCCATCTACATAATGAAAACGATGTTTATATTATCGCAGTGTCAACAGCTGTACCTGAGTGCATTTTGATGGCTAACTTAGGTCTCTCTGAACATCAACTAATACTGGACAAAACTTGTGAAAGTTGTGGAGAGCGATTAAGGAACGCAAAAGATGAGTATAAGTCAGAGAACAGTGTTATTTGAGCTAAAAAAGAGAGATTATTTTCACGGCCTGTGGTGTAAAATTTTGTGATGATCTTGGCACGTGCTCTCCCATGTTTGGCCACAAGTGCTACAATTAAGAGCTACTTCAGTAGGTGATCACTCTCGTTATTCTCATGACCTCAATTTTTGACTTAAGGGTGATACTGATAGGAGAAAATAGTTACTGATCACCCTCAAGTTAAAGGGTCATATCGCGAGGTGGTCCTCCATACTGTTCCTTCAACATTTCTTATGGTGCTGACAAGGAGAATTTGCATAGAAATCAAAAGCTTCTTTATTTGGTGATCATTTCCTTTATTCTCCTGACCTTAATGTGTGATTCAGGGGTTATATTGTAGGAAGAAATTAGATGCTAGTTGCTCTTAGGGCTCAAATGGTTCAAGACAATTTTTAGAAAGTTTGTTACTGTTTGGAATCTTAAACTTTGATCATTATTGAGGCGTCACGTAATTTTTTTGTTCCATGTCAGAGAGAAAAATTAAACTCTGGAGTATTCCTCTAATGGTTCTTTTGGAAAAAAAAAAGCTGTAATGCAGAGGAACATGTTTTAGTCCAGGAAGTTGTAAAGGAATGACATGAGTTCCTCTTAATTGGATTGTTCTTTGGTTGCAAATGAAAAAACAGTGAAATATTAATAAATAAAAATTGAGAAAAGCAGTAAATAAAACAAACACCCAGTCACAAAGGTCCATTAAAAACAGCCCATATATTGATGTTGTATAAGATGTTGTGTTTAGATAACTCTACTGCAACACAGGAGAATTGAGAAAATTGACACAGTTGTGCAAACCTTTGACTTCTCCTTGGGTTTTAGAAATATGCACAGATCTACATTGTAAAATGCCACCACCCTCTTTACAAACTCATCTCTATAACACACCTATCCACCAATGAGCATAGTATCTCTGTAAATTCATAATATCCACTGAAAGCTCAATATGTGTTTTTAAATTGTGACACAAACAACCAAGTGATGCTTGACTACCTGCGTTCATGATATAAACTTGCTTTCATTTTCAGATTTGTATATTACATCATTTTTTTTTAAAACCATTGTTATCTATATGCTGATTTCTTGATCCTATACATTGTAATCAGGGGGCTTTGCTTGTAGCTGTCGCTTAGCAGTTTGATATAACACAAAGGCAGCAACTGTGAGGTGGAAGAGAATCTGCCAGATGTTTCGAAGGCCTCGTAGCAAGTAAATTAAAAAGAGAAGCAAGCCAAATAATATTCTTGCCAGCGGCATCCTCCATCTGACTGAAAACAGCAGGAGCAGAAGCTGTGAGAGAAAACAACAAAAAATCACAAGTCAAATCCATTTTTCTTTCAATCAGCTTGACTTCATCCTACATATAATTAATTTATGTCTATTTGTGGTCGAATCAGCTTGAAGTGGCTAGACACAGAACGACAGAGAGACAACAGGCACAAGAAGACACTGGCTCACATACTGAAAAACAGACAAACTGACTTGTGGTCTAACAGACCATGAAAAAAAAAAAAACTAAAAAAAAAAACTCATGGTCTGATAGAGTGGTATACTGACAGACACACTGAACCCACATGTGGACAAACTACAGACAGGGAGACAGTTAGGAAAGACAGTCAAAGGAGAAAAGTTGTTACATGTGCAGGTAGTATCTAAGTGGCAGATGTACCAGTTGGTGGGTAGGTATACAGGTAGCTGAGGAAGTGAGATACATTCAGGTAATGGTGCATAAATCTAGGTACATATACAGTGTAAACAAACAGAAAGACCAAAAAAAAACCATACAATTCTTATAATGTTGCTTCGAAGAATTTGGTATAATTATCATTATGATCAACTTCTTATCCCCAAATTGATCTTTGTCTTCATTCTCATCACTTATCTGGTTGATATTGTACTGATATTGTGAGGAGAAATTCTCTCTTATAGGGTTAACATTACCGATTATTTCACCTATACCACTACTGAGGTCATATGGCACAAGACTTGCACACACGTATAGTCCAAAAAGTTTACACATTGGTGAAACAAGATGATGACATGGCAATGATTCTGAGAACAACTTTGTAACAGAGAAAGAACAGACTGGCTAAAATAAAAGAAGGGCTTGAGAATGACTTTCATTATTTACTTCATCACATCTCGCAAATCACAGCATTGGCTTATTCTAGACAAGGTTCTTTTAAATGTATAGTTGATCCATATAGTAAAAATACAGCCAAATGTTTTTAACAGGGAAAGCACTTCATTATAAATAAAAGTAAAAAATAAATAAATATTTAAATAAGAAAGGGACTACAAACCTGGCAACAGTTCAAAACACCAGCAAGCAAAAAGCCAACAGCTGAGAACCAAGTAGCACTGGCCTAACAATTGGTAAAAGTAAAAAGCATCAATCCTTTGACCTCTACATGTAAATGTAACAATGACCAGCGTCTAATTTCTCCTTACATTATCACCCTTGAATCACTCATTAACCCTTTCACTCCCACAAGTGACCAAGAAAGAATTTCTCCTTACAATATTAATACAATATCAACCAGATAAGTGATGAGAATAAAGAAGAATATCAATCATGGGATTATTAGTTGATCCAATAGCAAATTCTCTGAACTAACATCATAAGAATTGTATGGCAGATAGTAAGGAGAATTACTAATTAGATCTTGGGAGTGAAAGGGTTAAGGTCATGAGGATAAAGGAAATGTTCACCAACTAAAGAAGCTCTTGATTGTTTAAAAAAACTTTCATTGCCAGCACCTTAGGATACGGATAGAGAACAGTACATACTGATGTTAGGGTGTAAAGGGTTAGACAAATGAAAAGTACTGGGTCCTTGACAAGGTAAACCAAACACTTCAATTAAAGGATACAGTAGGACCTCCTCTAGTCATGGGAAAAAACCATCGCCTACACTGAAGCCATGCTTCTTCAGTTCTGTCACAGTCATCTTCTCTTTAAAGGGATGTGATGACACTTTTTTCTAGTCCTGAGGTGTACCCCCCACAGAGGCCCCCACAAAATCTTAATATCAGTTATTCTTATTAAAAAAGGCTGGGGAGTTTTTTGTGTCCAGCCCCTCCCCAGTGTCTGCTTATTGGAGGCTCAACGACACACTTTGTTTGATTTCCTTCATCTAAAGGACACAGTCATCTATTAATGGAATACTTTTTCTAGTCCCCTGAATAGAGTTTTCACTCAAGCACACTGTGGTGGAATGAATGTGTCATAAACCCCAAAGATGTGGTAACTTAAGGTTGCTAGCCACATCACATAATCTAAGGGACTTCATCAACCTTTTTATCACCTGTGGCTGCCAATTGTGGAATTGTCCACTCTGACCATGATAGGCAATGTAGAAATCTCTCAAAGAAAACTTTTACACAGGGCAATAAGATGCCATGTAAGGTCTTCAAACCCACATTTGGTGGACAATAACCAGATTTAATTGAAAGATTTGTTATCTTAAGTCCAGAAGTGCAAAGGCCAATTAGCACTAACCCAGTGTTAAATTTTAATCCGAGTTTCTTTATTCCTTTGTGCAAAAGCCTCTTCAGATAATTATCTTTATCTTTTTAGAGCAATTTCCATCATCAAATTCTAGACAAAAGTAATCACTAAACAGAATTTTCTTTTGAAGGTTTCAGATATGAAATCAGATTTAGGCTAATCCTGGGTTAGCTTAACCCAGCTTTGAGCAAACCCACCCTGGTTGTAAGAAGTTACCATAGTGACAGAGGAACAAAAGAATAAGCATTATTTCCTCACCTCATCATCAAGTACTATAACATTTAAAAATGGAAAACATCTTAGAAAGTTAAGAAGTCCACAAATTCCTGCTAAAACACAGGCAGTGAGACTTTTCCATGTCAAGGGTTCAAGACGTCTTGTTGGGCCTGAAAGAAATAGTGATAGTAAATCACTTCATGTATGTTGATCTTGCAGTAACAACAATGTTCTCCTTCCTGGCTAGCATCTATTTTATTTGATGCCAGTTTTTACAATACAGACTCATCCAACCAATAGAGCAGTTAGCAGACTGAGGTTTCAATAAAACTTGATACAATTGGTTTGATGCTTCCTATCTGGATTATAAGCTATAGTAAAATTCATGTTGCTTTGTTAGTGCTCAGCAGTCAACCAATTTAAAGAGAATTAAATACATTTTGGGAGAACAGTGATGTTTCTGTAAAGGCTACAAGGTGGTAGTCAGCACATAACAAGCAAGCAGATTAGTACCCACTACTTGGCTGCTAAGTAAGCTCTGCAGTATGGATTTGAGTAGTTAAGTTGTCTTTGAAAAAGTCACTATTCTTGTGCTTGTTAACACCAAAGAGGTAACTGGCGGGTCACAAACTTTTTCCTTTTTCTTTATAATGCAGGCAAGTCATTTCAGAGATGAAGTGATACCAAACACTTCAGAATGTTGCCAACATCACTTTGTTTAATCTACCATTGCAGGCAAGTCATTTGCAAGTCATGAAAAAAAAATGCATGCATGTATGTGCTTCTTTTTTACCTGCTTTTTGCGTGCATTTAGGGCCAAGTACCTCTTAGCTGTACCATAGCACTCAGTGTGGATGGTATTAACTATACTTATACTTCCATTTGTAATTACCAAATGACTTAATACTGGTCTTAAGTTAAGTTGCAAAAGCTACTTCATTAAGAAAAAGAACATCTGCTAAATATGAAAAATCTGAATACATGTTGCCTGTGAATAAATGAATTGCCAGTAGGCAGCAGTTCCTTCTCTTTGTTGTGTTTTCTTTTTGGGGGGTGGGGGGGGGGGGGGAAGGAGGGGAGAAGGTGATTCATTTTGATTTGTTCAAAAAGCTACATGTACAAGGAGTTTTAGTTGTTCTACAATAAAAGCATACTGCGTATTTACCTCCTGTCTTGTAAGTCTTGACATCTGTGTTATTTTCTGGTCCAAGTTCTGATTGTGATATCTGGAATGGAGGGTTGTTGTGTAAATCTTCACTCATTTCACTTAAATTAAGCCGTGATGTCAAAGTTCTTGTGTTGTTGTATCTTTGCTTGGTTTTCTGAATGAAGGAATCTATGCCATGAAAATTAGAAATATATATATATTTGTCATCCTTAATAATAATTTTATTGATAGGGTAAAATAATATCTTTACGCTGTGATAAAGTTATAATTTAAACTGTTTGATGCTGAAAAATAATGTTGATTATCAAGAGAGTGTAATGTTGCATTTAAGTTCTAGATTTATATGTACTGGGGTATTTTCAAAAATTAATGCAGTATCTTCTATAAGCATGATTTACATGGATATAAAACATGATCTCAAAACTAAAATAGTCAGTCATTCATTTATTTAACCCTTAAACTCCCAAAAAATTAAGCAGACAAGTGACAAGAATAAAGAAAAAAATATCAATTGGGGGATTATTAGTTGATCAAATGCCAAATTCTCAGTACTACTGTAACATCAATAGAATTGTATAGCAGGTTCAGTGCAGTAAGGGGAATTATTAATGAGATCCTGGGAGTGAAAGGGTTAACAGTAATTTCCTAATCCTTTACTCCTTAACATCAGTATCTATATTCTTCATACTATTCACTGCATATTACCAAGGGTGCTGACTCATGAAGAGAATTTGTTTGCTAATCAACAGCTGCTTTAGTTGCTGATCATTTCCTCTATTCTCATGACCTTCATGTTTGATTTAAGGGTGATGTTGTAAGGAGAAATTAGATGCTGGTCACTCTTAGGGGTTGAAGGGTTAAGCCAACACCCAATTCAGGAGACCTGAACATTCCTGTTCAGAACATATCTAAGAACTTGATAAAACAATGTTCCACCCTTAATCTCTTAGTTAGAGTCACTGTAGACAGCAGACTTAAAAAAAAAGCATACTCATTAAGGACTGAAACAGTTCAATTACTAAACTGGTACAGGGTGTAGTCTTCCTTAGGTCATACAGTTGAATGGTTACCTGATGATCTGCTGTTGGTGTTTTTCAGCATGATTTATCTTAATAACTCCAACAAATCAACATGTTTTTTGTTGTGCATGGCATTTCACAAAATTTTTATCGATAAATGAATATCACTCACCAAATTCTATGAATGAATAGGGTCTCTTTGCTCTTTGAACATCTTGACTTTGAAATGTTATTACAAATTCACGCTGAAGCTCCTCAAGGAAACAGAACACCAAAACAGCGGGATAGGTTCCATTACAAACAGCCAAGAAACAAACTCCAACAGCCTTCACAAAGCTAAAACATGGAAAGAAACAACATAAAAGAAAAACTTCCATTTACAACTCAATAGACTCACATTACTTCCAGACTACCTTTCTTATCCCCATCTAAACGATGGAAGCATTGTACTGAACCTGTTCACCCATAAGAGTGAGTAGCATCTAATTTCTCTTTACAATATCTCCCCCGAATTACAGAATAATGTCATGAGAATCAAGAAAATAATTAGTAACTAAATAAGCTCTTGATTGCAAAACAATTTCTCCTCATCAGCACCTCAGGAAACGTTCTAAAAACAGTATGGAGAATATACATTGTGATCTTAGGAATGGTTCCTACAACACACACTGTTACTCTGAGGCTGGGTAGTGCACATAAATTAAGTCAGGTACATGCAATCAAATGCAAAGATTACCATAAACTAACAAGCAATCTGATGGTTTCTATACTAACAATATTTCTAGGAGTGCATCTGTCGTAATTTTAGGTATAAAAGGGGCAAACAACAGTGATTTTGGGGAAAATTCACCCTTGCGTGCCTATGCCACAAAATTAAGTTTAACAAATGAAAATAGGACGTATTTGGACCATAAAATGATTGCGAGTAAGAGGATTACTCATTATTCAACTGGTTTTGCACATATAGTTATTCTGATCATGAGCAATTGATCACACAACTCACAATTCCTCGTCTTAAGCTTGGCGACATGCTCTTGTCTTGCCTACGTGTACATGTATTTATCATACTGGAAACTTACTATATCATATGATTTCCACATTGCATGGCACATCTAGTTGGATACTGATTAGCTTTCCTGGCTAAACTTTTGGCGAGTCTCTTGCTTTCTTTAAGCTCAAAATGCATATCGAGGTCGGTGGAAGCAGACAGAGGCATTCCATCTGAAACACGCGTAATCATCGCGAACAGAACCATTGTTAATAGCAGATGATATCTAAAGCTACAGGCTACCTAAATTTGTGCAGTTCATCCGTTTCTATTGAGCTGAGAGCCAACAGATCGCGATTTCTCAAGGAGAAAAAATTGGTCTTTGTTTGTCAGCCATATTGGATTTCAGCTTGATCCCGCGGTGTTGTCAGTGGTAATCCTAATTGTAAGTAAATACATCGTGATGGGCGCTTTCTCGCGAAGCAGAGGCAGTATCTAGCCTGGTATCTAACGTGATGATTCGATTTAACACCCGGGGCGCTTATTTACTTTGGTTACCCGAAGGGAGAGCGCTTATTAAGGAAAAGGCGCTCATTCTTTATTATTTTTTAGAATCAATAGAGTGCGAAACTAAGCTTTAATGTTTATTTGGAAAGGATGCAGAAAACTGGAAAACGAACCTCGTGTTCCTGGACTCTTCCTGGCTAAAACGAAAAGCCGCAAAATTTTAAGACAAGATAAATCGTTTGAAGGAACTTTGTATTCACATGGACATAATAGTTGGGAGTCGTTTAAGTTTACTTCCTTGTTCGACGCTACAACTGTGAACGGTCGTTCTATAGTGTATACCAAAGATGATTTCGGCAAAGATTTCCAATGTGGTAATCCTGCTAGTGTGGTTCTCTGTCTCTTCTAATTGTCAATGTCCAGCGCGAGACTGTGATGTTACGTCTTGGACATTCTGGAGTCGGTGCACTTCAGGCCAATGTGAGCAGTTGGGAGCTCAGAGTCGATCAAGAATGATAATAACAAGGCCTACTTGTGGTGGAAGAGAATGCCCTGACAACTTTTACCAAACTCGCCGGTGCTATGGGGGAAATCCAGTTGACTGTGAACTGAGCCAATCGGGACACATTGGAGCTCTTGCACAACTCCTTGTGGCGCATCAGGAATACAGTCTAGCTCTCGTCACCGAATTACTACCGAGGGGTGTGGTGGTACATGTTTGTATCCTCTCACAAGAACAAGATCCTGCTTACAGATCAGTTGTTTCAATGGGGGAAGTTTACAAAATGGAGCACGTCACTGTCGAGATGGGTTTGCCGGAAATTGCTGCCAAGGTAACTAGCTGAGAAAAAGAGAAAAGAAAAGCAACCCTACAAACACACACACACACACGCACACACACAAACACATCTTAATTTTGGAAGCTTATTCTGAGCAGAAAATTTAAGGAACAATTTTTTATTTTGGATATATGTATTTCGAAAAATATTTTGGACCCAAAATGGAGAACAGAAACGCTCAAAACAGCCGTGTTTAAGACAGGTCAACTGGGAACAACTCGGTCATCTTTTCCATAAACTGAACAATTTTTGAGCGAGTAAAAATTAAAATAGAGGTGATGGAAATTAAAGAGAAGTTAAGGCTTCCAAACAAACTTTGAAACATTAGTTTTACAGGTATCTGTCACAATCTGACACCTTTCAATTAGAGAGCGCGTAAGAAAAAAAAACGCAAGAACATTTGAAAAACAACGGAACTAGTTTGGCAAGGACTGTCACCACAATGTTTTCTTCAAAAACAGACAATGATCTAACGGAAAGTATTATTCACTCTCATCGACGTTTCATTCATGTGCGGAGATTTACCTCTGTACATTAAGTAAACGGCAAGGAAAATAATTGTGAGTAAATTCAAATTTTTTATTTTGAAGTTATGAGAGTTTGCTCGTTTGTTTGCTGCAATGGCGTGTGTAAATCTGGTCTTTCCTCCACAAAAACTAAATTCGAATGGCACTTTCCAACGAGACACAAGGGGATTTAATGCGGCCTTCTCTCAATAAATTCCTTCAGTTTCTGTTGTGCAATTTACGGTACAAATGTCTAAATTAAACGGAATTAGAAAAACTCATCGAGAGCGTATTTTTGTTGTAGAAGTGAAATTAAGACTTCGTTCGCTCTCTCGCTAGGAACAAATTGTTTGAGAAAATTCAGATATTAAATGAATGAAAGTTCCATGATTAGTTCAATTATAACCAGATACCTCACCTTTTAACTTTCTAGGTACTTTCTGTGAACGATTAAAATTAATTGCAGACGGTTTTTTGGCCGCTTGTCAACCAACTTAATGATACTATTGCTGATACAAATTCACTCTGAAACCAACATTTTTTTGTCAACCAAAGTGATTTGAGAGAGAGAAAAGAGAGGATTCATAAGTTATTTATCGGCTTGAGGTAGTGACCGACGTGTTTGCTTAAAAATACTGCCCAGCCGGAAAAACGAGATATATTTATGAAAAATGGCAACGAAAGTTGGGATGTACTCCGCGACTCACGAAAGTGTTACCGTGGCCAGTGAGCAGAGATAGGAAAATACTGACCGGGTAAAGAACCAATCAGATTGCAGGATTCGTTACCGTGCCCTCTGAAAAAAAAAAAAAAAAAAAAAAAAAAAAAAAAAGGTATTCGATTCGAAGAAGACACGAGAGACATATTGCGGGCAAATTAAGATGCTTACAGCAACGCTGATAAAATTTTGAGGGTCACATAAAAAAATCCCTTAATGATGAATTATAATTTTTTCATAACTCGAAAAATGGCCAAAAAAAAAATTTTGGTTTTCTATTTGTGGTCTTTCGGTTACTAATCTTATCTCTTTCACTCAAAGGAAGCAGAAGAGTTAAATTTGGCTGTATTTCCAAATAATTTCCCTCAACAATAGCTGCGTATATGCTTCCTTGCCGACCGACCGTCGACACACGCGACCACATTTCGCGTCTATTGTCATCCTATCCGCCAGACGGCTACTGCATAGATTAATGACTTACCTTTTCCGGGCGAACGGAGGCAAGCACGAAGGATGGATCGCGAAAAAAAGCGCTCCTCCCTTCGCTCACGCCTCGCGTTTGCCTCCGTTCACCTGGAAAACGAAAAAATAGCAAGCCTGTTCTGAAAGCTACGACATTTAATTCTCGGAGAAAAGTTTCCAACCTTGTCTTGAGCGGAAATTTTACTTTTTTCCTTCTCGCAGCGTCGTGTAGCGAATAGGATTTCACCGATATTTAATAACGATCATGCTCGTTTCAACGAATGTAACATATTTGCTCAGATCTCTGCCTCTTGTCTACGGAAATTCTTTGAAAAACCGGCATACACGAGGCCTTCCAAGGGGGTGTCGATGTCGCCTTGTCGCTCGTTTACCAACACTCCTTTCGCCTATTTGGTTAGGGAGATACCGTCCCACATACACTATTTGATTTAAGCTGAAGTCGTCATAGGATTCATCTCTGGGACTCTGATGATGATAATTAGTATCATATAATAGCCAAGTTCCCTGATGTCTTTGATTGCAGATTTTAAGGTTCGATGCTCAATCACTGAGCTTCAGAGAACTGGTTTAAGGGCTGTCCAATTTATTAGGTACAACGAAACGTGTTGCCGGTTAAATGCGTTAGCGAATTTATTTCTAAACCTCCAAGTTTAAGTGCTCCTCAATGAATTCAACATTTCAAAAGTAAATTCTAAAAATTGTTAAAAAATTGCTTGAAAAGTGGCTAACCAATCATTCAAATGACTTTTCTGTTGATCTAGATCAAATTTTTCGATTGCTGATCATTGATCATATTTCTTCTCCTTTTCAGATACAGATACAGATACCAACACAGGCTCAATCAAAATCAAGGTCGGGATTTCGGTGTCGGGAGTAGTAGTTTTGTTCGTCATCATCATCATAGGTGTGTGGTGGCGTTATTTTAAGAAATGAATCCAGGCCTTCAAAACTGATTGACTTGCACTGGTTTTTCTCTGGAATGGTGCTCACATACCTCTGGACTGAAAATGTGTCAGAGAAGACCATCCCAGTATTTATCAAACATTGAAAGTGCTTAAAGGAGTGTGCTTAAGCTTTGAGAAGTTTCATGTATATTCACAGTGTTAAATAACCCCACACAAGGCTAGTGAAGAGTTTTTTTGTGCTCGTCCTTTAATTTTTTCTCATTTATACTGTTATAAAATGATTTCTAGAGCAATTTGTATTCAATCAGCACGAGTATATTTGGCAAAGATTATAACCGAAAAAAACGTAGCAGTCAGAAGGCTTTCGAGAGCCTATCCCAAAGTGAATACTACACTATGTTTCAACTTTTGAACCCGATTTCAATTTTATGATCGACTGGGGATTAGCTTGCATTCTCTTAGCCATTGGGTATGTTGGAACTTCCGCAATAACTGCATTATTAATGATATTTACTGAATAAACGATCAAAATTTTTGCCATAGTCTGTCTTCTATTCCCTGAATGCGAAATCTTTTAATCCCCTTTAAGCCATAGAAACGTCATGAAGTAATCACACTTCTTTGGAAGACAAGAGACACCTCATTTCTCGTTGTTTCTGTGGTTTATGGCCATGTTCTCTGAGCCATACTGTAGTGTGGTAAATGTGGGGGGAGGGGGGAGGGGAAGTGGAAGCTTGAGTATATAAAAAGCAGTTAAAACATTTTTTTAAAATATAACAAGAGTTGGGCATCGTAGGACAAATTCATTTAAATAACCATGACATTTTTCAAACATTTAACGGAAGAAATTGACAGTCATGTCAACGACTAGCCTCTGTTTGTGATGCAAACAACAAAATCATTAGCTGACTGCACTGAGTAGTGCTTTATTTGAAATAAACCGCTAACTTCACGCGTACTTTTGATAGCACTCCAAGGTTCTTGAAAATAGAAACTGCTTTCCTCTCCAGATCATTGCTCCATCGCTTAACATTTCACTTTCCTTTTTCATGACATAGAACCACCACGACCATGACAACGACAGCTCCAATCAAACAGGATGCCTGAAAGCACACCTTTATTGACCCCTGTGAAAATGAAAATTTTAATTTTCAATCAGCGAGATATAGAGAATAATACTTGGCGCGCGTAGATATAGGATTTCTCTTCGAGCGTTTAACTCAATACCTCACGAGTGAAATGTATCGTTGACGAGTGAGAAGTATCGTTGAAATGCGTCGAAATTCTACAAAAGCAGGAAAGTTCCGTTTCTGTAATACTGTAAATTATTATCTAATTGAAACTTATTCTCATATCTCGTTCTATCCTCGGTTGTCTTTTGTGCACTTTCAGATTTCAGGGATCCAAGAAAGGTTGAATTCCGATATCTTTGTCTATGTACCCACCTCCTCCTCAATCTGTTCATAATGGGCAATGCCGGACAGAATAATTTATTGACAACCGCGTTTGCAAATGGTGATAGTAAAATACTTCAAGCATGTCCTAGTTAGAATCTATTTCTTTTGATGCCAGTCTATACAATACAGACTCATCTGTTGTGTAAATCTTCACTCATTTCACTCAAATTAAGCTGCCATGTCAAAGTTCTTGTGTTGTCCCATCCTTCATCTCTTAGTTAGAGTCACTATAGATAGCAGACTTAAGAAGCTCCTCATTGAGGATTGAAACATTTCAATTACTAAACTGCTAGTCCACTTCAGGTCATATAGTTACCTGGCGATCTTCTGTCGGTGTCTTTTGGCATGATCTATCTTAATAATTCCAACAAATCACATGTTGTTTGTTGTGGATGGCATCTCACAAACTTCTTATCGATTTATGAATATTGCTCACCAAATTCTATGAATGAATAGGGTCTCTTTGCTCTTTGAACATCTTGAATTTGAAATGTTATTACAAACTCAATCTGAAGCTTCTCAAGAAACAAAAAACCAAAACATCGGGATAGGAAACAAACTCCAACAGCCTTCACAAAGTTAAAACATGGAAAGAAACAACATGAACTAAAAACTTCCATTTACAACTCAATAGACTCACATTGCTTCCAGGCTACCTCCCTCATCCCCATCTAAAAGATGGAAGCATTGTACTGAACCTGTTCACCCATAAGAGTGAGTAGCATCTAATTTCTCTTTACAATATCTCCCCTGAATTACATAATAATGTCATGAGAATGAAGGAAATAATCACTAACTAAATGAGCTCTTGATTGCAAAACAATTTCTCTTTATCAGCACCTCAGGAAATGTTTTGAGAACAGTATGGAGAATATACATTGTGATCTTAGGATGTAAAGGGTTAATTTAGTTCCACACTGTTACTCTGAAGCTGGGTACTGTACATAAATAGTCAGGTAGAGGCAACCTAATGTAAAGATTACCATAAACTAGCAAGCAATCTGACTTAAACATAGTTTCTATACTGACAATATTTTCAGGAGTGCCTCTGTCATATTTTTAGGTAAAAAAAAGGGCAGAAAAAGAGTGATTTTGGGGAAAAATTCTACCTTACACTCATGTGCCACAAAATTAAGTTTGGCAAATGAAAATAGAACGTAGTTGGTCTATAAAATTATTAGGGATAAGACGAACACTGACTATTCAACTGGTTTTGCACATGTAATTATTCTGATAATGAGCAATTGATCATACAACTCACAATTTTCCTCGTCTTAAGCTTGGCGACATGTTCTCGTCTGATCTACGTGTCTTCATCTCGCCAGGTAGCGGCAATCCATTTCGATCTCAATAAATCATTCGAAGGAAAGTGAAAGAAAGATAAATTATCACCAATTTTATTTCGTTTGTCGTTACTACAGAAATGAACGCAGCAATGATAATGGGCCATGCTTGCTTGAAATCTTCATTCAAAACACTTTAATGTAACACAACCCTATACCTTGTGCCCGTCCAGCCTCGATTTGGTGCCTCACGCAATCCAAGATGGGGCTGCGTGATAAAGAGCTTATCATTTTGCATTTTATTTTCGTCAAACAACTGCGGTATGGCTTCCTCGTGAACATCACGTGGGCAAAGTCCGGAGTCCTGTTGACTTAGTGCTGGGCTCGTTTAAGTTTACTTCCTTGTTTGACGCTTAGTTGTGTTTACAACTGTGAATGGTTGTCCTATAGTTTATACCAAAGATGATTTCGGCAAAGGTTTCCTTTGTGGTAATTCTGCTAGTGTGGTTCTCTGTCTCTTCTAATTGTCAATGTCCAGCGCGAGACTGTGATGTCACGTCTTGGACATTCTGGAGTCGGTGCACTTCAGACCAATGTGGGCAGTTGGGAGCTCAAAGTCGATCAAGAATGATAGTAACAAGGCCTACTTGTGGTGGAAGAGAATGCCCTGACAACCTTTTCGAAACTCGTCAGTGCTATGGGGGAAATCCAGTTGACTGTGAACTGAGCCAATGGACAAGTTGGAGCTCTTGCACAACTCCTTGTGGCGCATCGGGAACGCAATCTAGCTCTCGTCACCGAGTTCTTACTGAGAAGTGTGGCGGTACATGTTCGTCTTCTCTCTCAAGAACAAGATCCTGCTTACAGACCAGTTGTTTCAATGGGGGAAGTGTACAAAATGGAGCATGTCGCTGTCGAGATGGGTTTACGGGAAATTGTTGCCAAGGTAACTTGCTAAAGAGAAAAGAAAAGCTCCTCTATAAACACGCACACAAGCACATCTTAATTTTGGAAGCTTATTTTGAACAGAAAATTGAAGGACCAATTTTTTCGAAAAATATTTTGGACCCAAAATGGAGAACAGAGACGGTCAAAACAGAACAATGTTTAAGACAGGTCAATCGGGAACAACTCGGCCATCTTTGCTTGAATCTGCACTTTAATATCAAGGTTTCTGAGCTTTCTCTCCATCGAAACGTTTGAGTGCACTCCCACAGATATGTACCACCGTGATGATCAGTTCGATTCTTATGCACACACGAGTAGCACTTGGGTAAAAATTGGTGACTTTCATGTAGACTTCACCATCTCCGAATGTTGTGAGATTAAAAAGTCTCTCATACTTTTGAATGAAGAACCGAGCTTTCAAAAGAGAGTGACGGTATCTGTTAAAATGAATCTTGTACTTGCGTTACAAAATTTCGACGTTTGTTCTCATCACTTATTTTCACTACGAATGTCACTGTAGTAAATGATGAGATTTGCTGACGGAAAGTGTGCTTCATTAACTTTTCCATTTCTGAGAAACAATAAGTTATTTTAACTGGAAAGTGTGTCTTTCTTGGAAAGGATGCTTCATGTGTGCATAACTGGCGAGAGCTTCCACGTGATGAAACAAACGAATAAACCATGCATTCCAGAGGAAAAGTACCCAATAAAGTTATATTAACAAATCGATTTCTCAACGGGTTGGAAATAACACAAAAATGAGTTTATTTTTCTGTTTACATTAAAGGAAAACATTTGAAATTGCGAATAGTAAGACCCAATTCTAAGAAAATGTAGGCTTTGTTGGACGTGCTGCATATCATACAAGCGAGATAAACTTAATTGATACGACCCAGACACTGCTGAAGGTTTTTCTTTCTCATTGCTAATAATATCTTTTGTGGTTTGACCTCACGTCAGCAGTAGAAGCAAAATAAACAGAGCCTGTTTATGATTAAAAAAGCGCCAAAACACTCTTTTTGTATACTCATTTCACTCGATGGCAATGTATTCCATCCCGTTGCACCATTGCGCGCTGTCGGAACATTACTAGTGAGCAGAGAGTATTTGATTCGAGGGAGACGTATTGCGTGCAAATTAAGATGCTTATTTTGAGTGTCACATTAAAAAATCCGGGGCAATTCCTTGATGATGAATTAGAGTTTTGCCTACATTTTCATTATAGAGGTGCTGCTGGTATGGCTCGTTGTGATTTCTAACTGTGCTCTTTGACAAAGACGCCGCCTTTTTCGGTCCTTGAGTACGAGTGCGAGACTGCGATACCAGCCTTGAAAAAATGCGCCAACGCGTGCGGTTTTCCAAAACGTGCTTCCAAGAAGTGTCTATAGCAAACTATCTTTGGCATTTCTGAGGAGACTTCTCGTTTTCGCTTAATTTATTTCACTGAATGGTCTTGTAACTCATCGTTAAAGATATTTCGATTAATGTGAAATAGTGAAGTCTATAGTCAGACTGTGAAGTAAACCACGACCTTAGGACATCATAACTCGGAAAAGGGCTAAAAAAAATTTGGTTTTCTATTTGTGGTATTTCGGTTGCCAATCTTATCTCTTTCACTCAAAGGAAGCAGAAGAGTTATATTTGGCTGTATTTCCAAATAATTCCTCTCAATAATAGCTGCGTAATGTTTCCTTGCTGACTGACCGTCGATACACGCGACCACGTCTGTCATCCTATCTGCAAGACGACTGCTGCATAGATTAATGACTGACCTTTTTCAGGCTAACGGAAGCAAGCACGAAGCGAACCGGAGGCGAGACACGTGCGAAGGAAGCAACCCGAAAAAAAAAATGCTCCTCCCTTCGCTCACGCCTGGCGTTTGCCTCCGTTCACCTGGAAAATGAAAAAATAGTAGGCCTGTTCTGCAGGCTATGACATTTAATTCTCGTAAAAAAGTTTCCAAGCTTGTCTTGTGCGGAAATTTTACTTTTTTTCCTTTCTTGCTGCGTCGTGCAGCGAATAGGATTTTATTACATATATAATAACGATCATGCTCCTTTCAATGGATAACATCTTTGCTTATATCTCTGCCTCTTGTAATTTACGGAAATTATTTGAAAAACCGGCGTACACGAGGCCTTCCAAGCGGGTTTTGATGTCGCCTTGTCACTCGTTTACCAACACTCCTTTCGCCTATTTGGTTAGGGAGATACTATCATACATACACAATTTGATTTAAGTCGAACTCGTTATAAGATTTATCTCTCTAACTTTGATGATGACATCCGCTCAGAGGTTGTTGAAACGTCAGTCATTACCACCGACAACAGTCCTTCTTAGAAGCACCCTCGCCCGGACCATAGGACTACACGATGGCATGCTAACCCCGGATTCAAACCATTTACTTCTTGTGTAATAACTAAAATAATTTAGCACAACTTTGGTAAAGCCTTTTTTTTTTTTTTTTTTTTTTTTTTACAAAAAGTACTGTAGAGCACCCTTGTTTTCACACCATGTTTTCTTCTAATCGCAGCTTTTTTTAATGTCATTTGTAGAGGAAATATGTAATGGCCCTTCGCCAGCAGTTGACTGTCAACTTAGTTCCTGGTCAGAGTGGAGCCATTGTACGACAGATTGTGGTGTAGGAGGATTACAGACAAGAACTCGTCAGCGGACAATTTACGAGAGGTGCGGAGGTTCATGTTCTGGAGGGTCAGACTTAAAGATGGAACGATCCTGCCCTCGCAAGACTTGCTTTAATGGAGGAAGCTTAATGGGTGGAGCGTGTAGTTGCAAGGAGGGATATACTGGTTATTGCTGCGAGAAAAGTAATTATAGACAAAAAAAGGCATAATTATGTTGAAATTAAAAGAAGCATGTTTCCTATAAAGGCTGAGAATGATAGAAACTGTCACAGGGGCTGCCTAGTAATCCATGCATTTATGATGATAAAGATAAGGTGGTGAAAGCCAAAAAGAAAAAAAAATGTAGAACTGAATTTAACTTTTTTACTAAGTGGGTCTTAATAAGGTAGGTGTGACGGTTGTCAAAACACACCTGTAACTTACTTCATGCATTAAAAAATGAGAGAGTTGGGTACAATGAAACGTGTTTGCGATATGTGTTAGCGAATTCTGTGTAATTTATTCAACAACTGCAAGTTTTCAGTCTTGCTCACCTACGTCAGCATTTCAAAGAAAATTCTACAAAGTTTTTTTTTAATCTTACCTTATTGCTTGAAGCGCAGAATTGGGTCACTAATCATTCAAATGACTTCCTTGGTGATCTTGGTGAATTCATTGCATATCATGTTTCTTCTCCTTTACAGATGCAGATGAAGATGAAGAAACAGACACAGGCTCATTCTCAGTCACCCTTGGCGTGTCGCTGTCTGGTGGTTTTAGCCTCCTCTTCTTTTGCTTGTGCGGTTATTGTTGTTATCGTTGTTTTTGTAAGAACTGAGCCCGGGCCTTTATTTCTCCGACGAAATAAGTAATGAAATGCCACCAAAGACTAAACCAAAATGCAACCGCACTTTAGTGGTAAGCTGGTTAGGGATCTCGATCGGATAATTGTTCGAGTTCGCACGAGGCGTTAATTTATTTTCGCCTTAAATCAGTTTAAACCACATAACCTTTTGAGCTGCTTTTTATTGTCGAAGCGTAGCTTTCACGTGGTACTCCGTAATATTTTTCTTTTAGGATGCTTTGCTCTAAGTTCCAAACCCGTACTTTAATTTATACATTTTTTTTACTGAGAGGGTTTTTCTTTTATATATCATCCACGGAAAATGGTGTCACTTTTACTGCATACAACAATGAATGTATCAGGTGATTCTATTTTTCAGTCGGTTGTTGCCACATTCATAAACATCTTGTGTCAACAAAGTGACAAAGAAAAATATTTTTGCTTCAGAACTGAGCTACTTGCCCTGGTTTTTCTCTTGGAAAGCGCTTATATGCTTGTAGTCTGAAAATGGTGTCACTTTCGAACAGACCATCTTAGTATTGACCCTACGTATACAAAGAAAGTGCTTTAGGAATCTGCTTAGGCCTAAAGAAGTTTCATATGAATTCACAGTGCTCAATGAGCTCAGTGATAAAAGGCTAGTTAAGAGTTGTTTTATGTTTGTTGGGGGATTGTATTTTTCAGTTATCAGTTAATCGAATGATCTCGAGAGCAATTGGGATCAAACAAACACGAGTAAACTAGGCAAAGATTAAAAAGTATGATATAAGCGTGGTCATAGTCGAGTGCTTACCTTTTCCAAATTGTGTGAGAATTAATTTGATTTCTTTCTATACAAAATGAATTTCATTTCAACTTTTCAGCCCTCAGTTTCAAGTTGTTTTTGCGCCCAATGACAACTTTATAATTTGTTCGGAATTAATTTGCGTTCTCTCAGCCATTGAGCTTGCTGCAATTTTCACAAGTACATCATTAATGTAATTAACAAATATACAAAATAAAATTTCTTACTCAAACAACACCGCTGTCGTTCAAAAGAACAGTCTTTTCACTTACAAGATCATGACCAATTCAAATCTAGTGCAAGTCTTTGTCTGAAGATGCAGGGCATTTTCCTTATTATCACAATTTTAAATGAAAAAAAAATTAATTAAGTGAGAGCGATTTCAAGTGACCAGACCAAGTCGTATCCCTATTTGTTCTGGCCTAAGAGCAGTCTTCCCCACCGTGCCCCTGTAAAAACTCGGAAAAATGTCGAAGGCTCTTTAAGGCAAGATGGACGTCACTTGTGTTGACCGAGGGTGTGCCAGGCAAATTTTGATTTATTTATAATTACTCCATATGGCGATTATCAACGGCTAATCAAAAATGCTCCCTCCCGTTTTAAGGAGACGGGTGGGTTTGAATGGGCTTGCATTTTTAAATCGTTCAGAGGGTAAGAAAGTGCCCCGTGATGAAATGAGGATTGGAGAAAGATATTCGTCCCGACTTCATCCGGGTCCTTTTTTATTTCGTGACCTCATTTTACGTCGCTCTGCCGCTGTTCCCATGCTACTTCCAAAAAGCTATTTTCAATGTTGCATTGATACTCCTGGTTTACCCGGCAAATTGTAAAAATCCACAACTTCTGACTGTGACTGAAAGTGAACAATAGTAAACGGCTCGATCCTTCGCTGGGGTCTCCAAACAATCCAACCGTGGATAATGTATGCAATACAAAACAATACAGAGAGTAAAATAAATCCTCCACAAGTTGTGCCAACAATAACCCCAAGATGATTCAATCTAGATGCATCTGTAAAAGACAATTTTACGGAAGAAAAATCAAAAGAAATCGAAGGCGACGCTGTAATAGAGAGTAACTGATAAAAAGAAATACCTGGTAATTTTGAGAAAGCTTTGGTCATGTAAAGTGGATAACAGTGTTTTCTGATATTACACTGTGGAACTGTCTTGAGGCAATTATGACGTAAATGTAGAAGCCCAAAAAAACATTTGTAAGCGTTCAATACGTCAGAGAAAGTATAAAAATACTCAGTCATCCCTTAGCGATTGCTGCTTGCCGGCAAAGGCAGGGAGAAGATACAGAGAACTATTCTGATGTGTTTCGGGTTTTCAAAACAGATTTGGAGAGCTGCGTTTATTATAACTTTGAGTCAGTGCATGATCACTGAAGCTTAAGGCGGTAGTAAAGGGGGTAAGTTTCTAAAGAAGCTGTGGTGCTATGTCGGTAGGAGAGTACAACAGGGTAATTTATTATTATCAACCGAGTTGATAACGTAAATTGGCCACCGTAAAGAGTTTAAACCCGACTTTTCGAGCGTTAGTCATTCGTCAGAGTGTAAGGGCTAACGTTCGAACCGTCACTTTTAAAACTCTTTACGGTGGCCAATTAACGTTATCAACCCAGTTGATAATATTAAATTACCCTTTTAAGTCAGTAATGGACTGGAATTAGATTATAGTACTTTGTGTGGTTTAGAAATCGCTCCTTTGTAATTCAATTATCTCATCAAGTACAGTTAAATAACTGCAGTTTGTTCCTTAAGATAATTTTGAACAACCATATTCTTTTATCGGTTAAACTACACCGTGACTGCAATATATAGAAATCTTGAACTTTTCAACATACTTACTTTTAATCTATCATTTGTCCTTTCTAAAACCCGATTCACACCAATGTCAAGTCTCGACACAATATTTACCGACGTCGTAAATTTCACTGCACCCAGACTTCCTAGGCTATTTTGGTGACTCCCGTGGAAATTTCCATGATAAACAAAATTTCTTCATTTTTTTTATATCTGATTATATGACGCATGGGGAAGGGGGTTGGGTTATTTTCAACTGGAAAATGAAACGAAAAGCAGCTCGACAAACAAGAGTTTGAAAAAAGCTCATGTCGCTGGGATGACTAAGGAAAAGCTTCTAAAGGGGACGGTTGTTGAATATAGTTTTCGGGAAGTTAGAGCCAGACGACCTAGATTTCGCGAGGTGTAACTGCCTTTACTATAATAAAGAGTGAAGGAAATAACAAGAATGAAAGGATTAACTTAACAAAGTTGAAAGAACAATTCCCTAAAGAATCACGAGCTTAATACAACCAGGACACGAAATTTACATATTAAGTGTGAATAATTAAGAAACAAACCAATTGATATTTCAACCAAAACAGAGAATAACAAGCAAAATAATATTAGCGTCCATGAATAACATGCCTGGAAAAAAATAGAGCACCATCTCTTCCTCAAAAAAACCCAAGACAAAGCAAAAAAAAAAAGACAGTCAGATGGACAGACAAAAAAAACGAGCTTCCTTTTGATGGCCGAATAGTTTGTGTTGCGTAATCAGCTGTGTAGTTTAAAGTGCTTGTGAAATAAACCTTATACTCCTCAGGCTAGTTGTTACTCAAATGAAACAATCGATAGCAAAGAACCAGTATAATTTCATACGGTAATTCAGCATAATCAAAGAATTCGGTTAATGTAAATTGGCCACCGTAAAGAGTTTCAAAGCCGACGTTTTGAGCATTAGCCCTTTCGTCAGGGTGAAAGACGAAACGTCAGCTTTGAAAACTTTGAAACTCTTTACGGTGGCCAATTTACGATATCAACTTCTTGATATTGCTAAATTACCCTGTTATACTCTCCCACCGACGCAGCACCAAAGTTATAGAAACCCACTCCTTTTATAACTTCATATGATCTGCTTAAGAGTGTGAAATTGAATTTGCTACTTTTACTTTCTACAAACGATTGCTTTATACTGAATCTCTTCTTACCATGATGCTCACAGCAAGATCCGGAGTAACCTTCTTTACAGAAACATTTACCATCCTTCAAACTCCCTCCGTTCAAGCAGCTAATCTGTGGGCAGGATCGTGTCATTGAGAAGTTAGATGTACATGTACCACCACATTGCTCAGAGATTTTCTTATGACGCGAGCGAGTCTGTGTCCCTGATGCGCCACACGCTGTGTTGCAAGTACTCCAATCCGACCAAGCACTTAGTTTGCAACTAACTGGCGCAATTCCGTTGCAATGCCGCGCTTCGTGGAGGTCAGGACACTGTGCTCCTCCACAATTTTTGGAGGATACCACCGTCCTTGATCGATTTTGGGTCCCTTGTTGTCCGCATTTGTCAGCACTACACCCACTCCAAAGTGACCAAAGACTCACTTGACAGTTAATCGGTGTACTGCCGTTACATTGCTGTGTCTCATGTAGATTAGGACACTGTGCTCCTCCACAACCTGGTGAGGAGACCACCGTTCTTGATCGACTCTGAGACCCTTGTTGACCACACTGGTTTGTACTGCACGGATTCCATGAAGACCAATGGCTGACCTGGCAATTTCGTGGAGTGCATGATCTACGACGCCTTCGAGACTGGGCGTCACAAGATGGTGCGAAGGCGAGCGTGGCAACTAGTATCACCACAGCTGTAATTTCCACCGTGATCATACTTCCGAAATCTTACAGAAACTGGATCAAGACAGGGATTTCATTTAGGAGATACACATCGAACGCCCTATAAAAAAATCTTGACTGGCTCGATCCCGGTTAAGCGCAACATGGCAATTTGCAATTGAAATCATATTGATGGCAAAAGGCCAACATGTTTATGTATTGTCGTTATTCATATCCTTAATGCCGGTGTTAAAGACCCAATTTTTGACCAGTATTCATTGCGCACGGCGTTGGCTATCGGCGGCCATCAGCTCAAAGTTGATTATACACAAGCTTCGGAGAAACAATGCAACCTCGCTCTCGTGAAAACCATGACAAAAACAGAGACACACAATACGTAGTAACCAATACTGGGTCTGTAAAATTTATGAATGGTGCCCTTCACGTGCTCTGGTTTTCGTTGATTTGTCGTCGAGACAAAGTTTGGTGGAAGCCGCCATAATTTTAAATTATTTTATGTAGTCATCGTTGGAAGAGATAATTTGTTCGTCAGAGCTACGGGCTAACCCTCGTTACGTCGCGATCGCCTTTAAAAACTCTCTTCGATGGCCGGTTTACACAGTCATTAAAACAAAAGTATCTCGCTTATAGGAGGATTTTATAATAAAATGCCCTGATGTGTGAGTAATCACGAAACAGACTTGTAAGGATGAAACTGTAATCTCTGTTTTTTCCCTGTCTCAATATATATCGCGTTCTACTTTTACGTATCGAGCACTGTAATTCGGAAAAATCGAAACACAGACTTCCTCTATATATATATATATGTATATATTTATGTCCATAATAATGGAAACAAATTTACTTTCACAATTTTATTGCAACAGTATAAGCGGTTACCTATTATAACTATTATAAAAATGGTCCATCAAGTGAGAGGCTAGCATCATCAGCGATTGATGAAAAGGAAAATAAGTGCCTTGCGAAAACTAACCAGCTTGTGAAGAAGGGCGGCTGGAACAACTCTTGAAAATGTTTGCTTGGCCAGGAGATTATAACATAACTATTGCAACTGAAGTGAAAAGGTTCTACTTCAATATAAGGTAAGAATAAAAGACACTAAGCGCGAGGTAAAATATTTAACGCTTAAAAGAAAAAGCCAGTCAGGTCATTCGCTGAATATATCATATTCGCAAGGTAAGTTTTGAAGGGATAAACAGTGATACAGACACTTTTTTTCACTCCTTTCAAATGACGTAGATTTTAATTTCTGCACATGTGTTTGTTTTAAGTAGGAATTATGCCACTGGTGGTATACTGGTGGTCAAAGATGTTTTCGCCTAAGACTTCTATTGTTGTAATACTGCTGGTGTGGCTCTGTTTAATCTCTGACTGAGAATGATTAATGAAATAGGACTGTGTTTAAGACAGTACAAACAGACACCATCCAATCTCTGCACATCGTACCGAAATACCCGAAATTAACATGTTTGTTCTTATCGTAAAAGAGGTTATTGCTCATCGTGGTGGTAAGTAACAATAAACTGTTTAATCGTTTGTCTCACGACGTTTGTCTCTCTCTCTCTGAC